ACATGCGTTATAGCTCGCTGCCACATCCCAAATGGTGAATCTATCATTTTTTTCTTTATATTTAAAACATTTTCAGACCTTTTTTTCTAAAAAAAATGACTGGATGTTATCTTTTTAACTATTGGCATGAAAACAAACTGAGGTTTCTACCCTTCTTTCATGATTTTCATGTTCATCACTATTTCAAAATAAAGGTCTAAACACGCCTCGGGAGTATGAAAATATTCTTCTTGCAAATTGATAGATTATTTTGAAAATCAATCACCAAATATGAAAACTACAGATTGTAAGCTTTCAAATGATATATAGTTTGTCAATATTAGTATAGGTTTGGTACAGGATATTACTGTTTTAAATATGTAATGGCTATAACTTAAGGGGTTAAAAGACTCATTTTCAAAAAACGTAAATATCAATTTTCTAAAAATGTCTCTGTTTATTAGGTGCAAATGACTTTAGTGAAGGTTAAACTAAAGACTTAATATCTGCCTATGTAAGTAGAAGTATCATTGCTAAAGAAACTGGGAGTAATACTCTGCTAAGTTTTTCATCAGGATCACAGACTGCCAGATATTAGTTATATGTAATGGTCAAACGACCTTTATGTTAATTATTTATGGAATCACAAATGCACAAAAAAAAGCATATTGGCCCATATCTCCCAATTGATTAAATGACAGTTAAAACGATTAAAAAAGTTTTGTCAAGAGTTTATCCAGATTGTGCGTACCAAATCTTGTGCTAATTGGACAAACGGCCAAGGACGAGTTTGTAAAAGAAGAATAAGTCCGTGCCGAAGAGAATTTCTCATGCAAATGGATAAGAAAAGTATTCTTCTAGCATCATGGTTACAGATTTATTAACCAAAAACATAAATGATCTTATTATACCACCACCTCACCAACTGTAGTCACTGTAGCCTCATGTGGGTGCTTTACATTAAATGCTAAAGTCGTTCACATATTAGCCGCTGGAATGTATCAAGTTTTGTTAAGTTTGAACATTGCATTGACCAGATATAGGCCAGACCGTTTTATTGGCTGAAATCTTCGCAAAAAATATTTTTTAAAATTTTTGTCATGAGGGTCTTGACAAGTGTGCCAATTTTTGTGCAAATTGAAACAACAACCAATATGCAGTTTGAAAAAGTAAGTTATGGTTCTGGAGTTATGAACTATGTAGCAAAAAAACTATTAAAGCGCCACCTAGTGTCCAACAGATGTGTGTGTGTGTGTGTGTGTGTGTGTGTGTGTCTGAGTAATTAAATAATTCACATTTATTTGTATAGCGCTTCTCACAATACACACCGTTCCATGCGTGTCACACACACCTGAAACTGAAATTCCCAATTTAAACTGTCGTAAATGTTGGATGTTTTGGATCACAGACTGAAGTTTGGTCTCTTTTTTTAAAGACGACACTTGACAGATTATTGCTGAAGTGAAAAAAGTTTAAAAAGTAAATAATAATAAAAAGTTACTGATAAATAAATTTTTTTATTTTTTATTTAACTATAAATAAACTATAATCCGACAGAACAACATAAATAAAGTGGTTTTAGAAAAAAACCCGAGCTTCTAACTCCACCTGGAGCTGTTATTTGTTTTGGAAAAATCCACAGCTCCCGGATCATCATGTCCAATCAGCGCAGGGGGGGGTGAGATCTGACTGTCAATCACAGATCGGGCACACGCCACCCCTCGCGCACGCTACAATCACATGCACACGCCTGAAGTTTGCAGAAGTAACGAAGAGTGATGGCGGATGTATCTCGCTTTCAAAACACTAACAAAGTAAGCTCATTTAGAGTATAAATGACGTTAGCAATTGCAATCTATCGGTAGATTAGCCAGGACAGCATACCTCCAAATACTCCATGGTGTTGATGGATGCTGATGAGACGGGCGCGTTCACAGATACCTGGTGCACACGCACTGACGAGCACGAACTCTGTGGGAGGGTATCCGTTGATAGTGGGGGAGGGGCATGAGAGTAAACATTCAAAATTTTGCGTAAGTCCACTCAATCTGCCAGACTTGCCGACTTCAGCTTTAATATTCTAATTTAAAATATTCATTCTCTAACACACGTTTTACTCTAAAACTGAGAAAATCAAAGCCATGAATCTAAACAATTTGTGATCCGCATGTGAGGCTGATCTCTCAGTGAATGAGCGTTCAGTGAGAGTGTGTACGGCTGCAGTACCGAACGCTTCCACTAGAGGACATTAGTGAGGAGCTCAAGTGTGACTGTATTTCAGGACCATTTAGCCTGTTCGAATGATGTCCATGATTTTTTTTTTTTTCACACAGCAAGTGTCAAAACCTTTATCAAGTTTTGTACCGTTCCGATGAAGTAAAAAAAAAAAAAAAACATTTTGCATTTGAAAATTACCAAAGAGCATCAGAGGCCATAACCTTCAGTGCAATTAATAGAAGTTGCACTAGCAACACCAAGGTCATGGGTTCGATCCCCAGGGAATGCATGAACCTATAAAGTATAGACCTTTGGATAAAAGCAAAATGCATAAATTTGACCCTGGACCACAAAACCAGTCACGAGTCGCACGGGTATATTTGTGGCAATAGCCAACAATACATTGTATGGGTCAAAATGATAGATTTTTCTTTTATGCCAAAAATCATTAGGATATTAAGTAAAGATCATGTTCCATGAAGATATTTTGTAAATTTCCTACCGTAAATATATCAAAAAGTTATTTTTGTGAGTGGATGCAGCAAAATCGCGAACATAAATGCACAACTTTAAAGGCGATTTTCTCAATGTTTAGATTTGTTATAGTTGTATCTCGGCCAATCCTAACAAACCATACATCAATGGAAAGCTTTTTTACTCAGCGTTCAGATTATGCATAAATCTCAATTTCCCAAAAATGGCCCTTATGCCTGTTTTGTGGCCCAGGGTCACAGATGCGCATGTTTGCGGTGCTCTACCAGCTGAATCAGATGCTGGTGTCTGGTGTGAATGACAGGAGTGATGAGTCGACTGCACGGGTGCTTGGAGGAGGAGCGCATGGGATTCTGCTGCGCTTGCACATCTCTGCTATGAGCTCATGTTGCACATTACTCATGAGGAGAGAATGCATTGTTGTTGTTTTTAAGACACGGCCGTAGTGAGCGCTCGCGTGTCCCTCACAATGAATGCGGCCTTAGAAATGTGCCTTGAATTGGCCACAGGAAACAATGTGAGCAGCATACTTTCCTGAACAGCCTTTATTTGGTGGATTAGTTGCACCTTAGTGGCCTGGAATCGGGGAAAGATGTTTTGAATGGAGCTGTAGGGATGTCCAGTTAGCAGAACAGGAACACAGCCGTCAGGAGCTTTGAAAGGGGAAAGGAGGCCTAGTGGTATCAGTGTCATTGTGCCAGACACATTTGCTGCTGTTTGTTCGGTTAAACGCTAAAGGAGAATCTTCACGCAGTGACCACAACTGTCCAGACACTGAACACACATTCGTCCTGGAACATCAAGTTCAAATAACCGTATTTATTAAAAAAAACGTATTTATACATCACTCATCATGGAACTGTTTTTCTGAAACGTTTCAGTTGGACTTTCGTCAAACTTTTTTTAAATGTTACAACTTGTTGTTTCGGAATGTTCAGAGAACATTCAAAAGTAACATTCTAATAATGTTTGAGGAATGATGAAACGGAATGTTCAGCAACATTTTCAGCTTGTTGAGCAAATATCTCGTGAATATACGCACTGCGCATGTGCACAAGGAAGGTGTTGATGCAGAAAGCATTTGGATTCAAAGGTTTACATATTATTCACTCAATATTTTAAGATCTACTCCTTTCGATCAGACTGAAATCCGAATCAAGTTTATTCAGATCGTTTTACATGAAGGAGCCATCAGTCCGATTATTAAAGTCCCCCTGTAATCAATCATTTTATCCCGTAAAACTCATCTTTGATCACCAAAATGACATATTTAAATGTTTTCTTTGAAAAAAAAGTGTTTTCATGCCTTAAAATATCTTGAATGTAACTCGATACCCTCGCCTCATTTAGTATACGTGGTTCTATGAATATGCAAATGAGCCCCGCCTCCACTCACTCACTCAGCTCAGAGATCCACTGGTTGACGATCACACGTTGATCTGATTGGTTACAAGGTCGTTTGTGACGTCAGAAACACCAGCGATTTCACACCGTGTTTTTGAGACTGTCTTTGGTTCACTGCAGTTTTAAGCAGAAAATACTCAGCAATGCTGTCGACTTATGAACTTACACATGGTGTGTCTTAAAGCGTATTAAAAACACCACATACACACATAAACAACATTAAAAGCTGGATTTACACCACAGGGGACTTTTACAGATTAGTGTGCATGTAGAAATTGCCAATCATTGTTTGCATTTTGGTACCAAAGCATAAAGGCACCATTTTTAACCTTTTGGTTCTCTTTGCATGGCGGTCAAATATGACCAATTTTTTATTTTTAAATCAGATGAATGTACTATATTTTAATTCGATAATGTTTTTATTTAATATTTTGAATTTGTTATGATACTACATAATATTTATGCTTCATTTTTTCACTTTGTGAGCGTAGACCTGAAACTGAAATTCCCAATTTAAACTGTCGTAAATCTTGGATGTTTTGGATCACAGACTGAAGTTTGGTCTCTTTTTTTAAGACGACACTTGGCAGATTATTGCTGAAGTGAAAAAAGTTACAAAAAAATTAATTAATAAAAAAAAGTTATACAATTTTGTATTTATTGTTATGAAAAATGCACATAAATACTATTTAAAATTTCTTATATGAAATATATATTTTCTAACACATGTTTTACTCTAAATTCTCTCTGATTTCTTTAAGTTGAAAGAAAGCGTTTAGAGAACCCTCAAACAATCAGAACCCTCAAAAAATTAACCCCATATTAACTGCAGCAATATGAATCTTTTATTATTAAATTAAAAACCACACACTCCTAGATAATCATAAACAAGAATACATGATATTGGCAAATTTTGAGGGAAATGCCTCTTACATGCAATATGATTAATCTGGGGTCCCACATAAACAGCAATATTCCACCTTTACTCATATCATACAGCTAAATTATACTTATTTACACCTTTTTTTTTATAATTATTACAGATGCTTCATGAGACGCTTCACTGAAGAAACAGATGCACATTAAAAACACAAATCATAACTGCTTTTCCATTTCATTACCAGGACTACAGAACACACCACACATTTGTCTACAGTGGCATTATAAAAGCAAAATATATTACATTGAAAAACCAAATTCTCCAAACTATTATTATTTTTAAACAAGCCTATTCCACAGACAAAATGAAACAAACTCGCTGGCAGTCAACAGCAAAATATTTAGAATATATATTTTGATTTGTCTATAAAGCTTGACGATTCACTTATAAAAAGAAACATGTGTGATTGACACTCATGATAAATACAGCGTCCTGTAGGGGGCGCTCTGGGTTCACAGGTAGGAGGAAGATTTGAAGTCCTCGGGGACGTCACTGTCCAGTTTGCAGATGACCTTGTAGATGGCTTTCTTCCAGGAGGGGTCGGAGTCTTTGGAGAGGGAAACGGCGCTGAAGAACTCCTGAAGTGTGATTTCAGCGACCTCCAGGAATCTGTCAGGAACCTGAGGAATAAACGTTCGAAACACACCTCAGTTAAACACTGATTACACACTCAACAGACCCTGTTTGACAAACGTCACACTGTTTACTAACTGAAAAGCGGCCTATAATGCAGTGAGTGAACCCTCACTAGTGCTACTGTGATCGGACTGAGTGTGTAAGTGCAACTGTCATCATGAGTGATTCTTCAAATTATGTGTTAATGAGAACAGCAAACCAGATAGCCTTAGAAACACCTTAGTTACCAGCCAGAAACACAATGCCAGCACCTAGCAACAACTCAGGACACACTAGCAACAACATAATAAGCATCCAGAATACCCCAGCAACAACCTAAAATGCCTTAGCAACCACTTAGAGCATCCTAGCAACCACCTAACAACCACCCAAAATACCCCAGCAACAACCTAAAATGCCTTAGCCTGTTAAGCTTCAAGCCCATTTTTGAAAAATCCCCAGATATGGCATTCCCAAACTGAAACAGATACAGTTCATGAACCCTTTGTACTAAAAGCACAAGTAAGATCTCATTTGAAAGCTGACACCTGGAAGTTTATTGTAAATGTAGAATTAATTATTGTCATAATGAAAAAAAATAGTTATAAATAGCTTCAAAGTTTTGTAAAGTTATTATACATGTATTTTTATGAAACATCTTCATGAAAATAAAATTGAAGTTGGCATTGTAGCAATCTAGAAATGCACTGCAGCTAAAGCCACATGTCTAACCATGTTATATTTAAAATCTGAAGATGATAAGTCTAAAACTCTGTATTTAGTTCAATGTTTTTCAAGATCATGTCATATGACTTTATTTTGATTAGACTGGTGTTTATTGTCATCTTATAAGCATCTATTCAGTCTATTGCCTCTATTGTTTTGTGATGCAAAAACGAGTCCCATTCAGTCTCAGGCTCCCCTGCACATATTCACACCTCTCCAGCCTGTTTATTGCTCTAAATATGCTTTTCTTTTGTCTGCATTATAATCACTAACGACTAGCAATTCACACTGTTTCAATCCCTCATTTATTTTATAAAAGTTCTCACTTCACAGTGAAACTGTATCAAATGCCCTTTTTGAAAAACGAAACATTTCAGTAAGCATTCTTATTTAGAAAAAAAATCATAAAAATTACATCGAAGTTAGGTAGCAGGTGCTCAGTACTAGCTAGCATGTTAGCTTAGCACACCCTCAATACACGACAATTTATGAGAATAAAACTATGTTTGTGCTCCAACTTACTTTATAGCGCAAGTCGAGTGTTTTAAATAACTTTCTGTAATCTGATTTGGCTTCAGATAAAAAAATCAGATAGAAAATATATTATTTTATTGTATTCTGCACAATTTGAAAGTCTATCTCGATTAGCATTACATTATACATATAATCTATTATTATGAAAATACCTGACATGACTCGAAGAACACAGGTAAATCAAATATCATTGCAATCATGTTTATTGTCTTCAAAACATCTTTATCTGCACTTTACAGCGATCTCGGATAGCTTTGTTTATGAATCACGACTTCCTGAATGTCACATGATTATGGCTCTTCTTCATGTGATCCATATATGGACTTTACTGTGCAACAGCGCCCCAGACTTCAGTATGAATGGATAACACAGTAAATCAGAGTATACAGCGCTCAAAATGATTACATCGACGCATTTGGGTATAAATTCAATAAATATTATTCCTGTCTATAGAAGTCTGATGTAAACCTATGAGAATCTATCAATATTTCTCCAAATCTGCACATGTTTGAGCTAAAAGCCCTGAGGGACGTTGTTTTGTGAATCGCTGTCATGACGATCGCAGGGGAGTTTTTTTCTGAATGAGAGCAGCTGACGCTCATAATTCATATTAAAGGTAACGACTCATTTTTTTATTTCATAACTCCTGACACAAATTAAGACATAACTGTCACTATAAGTTTCACAGAATACAATAGTGGTCAAATACTGAAACTTGAGTCTTATATCGTTTTAATGATGTATAGTTTGTCAAGTTAATCACATTAAATATGATAGTAACTTTGAACTATTTAAAAAAAAAACGCTTCAGAGCGCCCACGCACTGGTGACGGTTAACAGGTTAGCAACCACTCAGAACACACATGCCTAGAAACCACTTAACAATGCCTTAGCAACAACTATTTTAAATTTCAGCGATCTCCAGGAATCTGTCAGGAACCTGAGGAATAAACGTTTGAAACAGACCTCACTCAGAGACTGATTACACACTCAATAGACCCTTTTTGAAAAAACGTCACAATGTTTACTAACTGAAAAGGACAATACTGCAGAGTGAACCCTCACTAGTGCTACTGTGATCAGACTGAGTGTGTAAGTGCAGTGCAAGTGTGTTGATGAGGACAGCAAACCAGATCACCTTAGAAACGCCTTAGTAACCAGCCAGAATGCCATGGCAACCACCCAGAACACACTAGGCTTGAAACCACCTAGTGATGTCCTAGCAACCACCAAGAACCACAATGCTAGCTCCTAGCAACCACCCAGCACACCCCACCAACTACTTAACAAGCATTCATAATGCTCCAGCGACCACCCAGAACACAACACCCTAAAAATAACCTTAGCAACCCTTAGTAATCTCTAGTAATGCCTTAGCTACCACTCAGAACACCCTATCCTATAAACCATCTAACATCAACCCAAAATACCCTAGCAACAACCTAAAATGCCTTAGCAACCACACAGAACACACATGCCTAGAAACCACTATGCTAATGCTAATGCCTTAGCAACCTTAAACATGCCTTAAAACACTTAACCAACCAGAATGGCCTAGCAACCACCTTACAACCACCGTAAATACCCCAACAACAACCTAAAATGCCTTAGCAATCACCCAGAACACACTAAGTTTGAAACCACCTAGCAATGCCTTAGCAACCACCCAGAATGGCATAGCAACTACCTAACAACCATCCAAAATACCCTAGCATTGACCTAAAATGCATCAGCAACCACCCAGAACACACTAGGCTTGAAACCACCTAGCAATGCCTTAGCAACCACCCAGAATGCTTTGGCAACCACCCAGAACCACAATGCCAGCACCTAGCAACCACTTAACAACAACCAGAATACCCTAGTAACAACATAAAGTGCCATAGCAACCACCCAGAACGCCCTATCCTATAAACCACCTAACAATAACCCAAAATACCTTAGTAACAACCTAAAATGCAACCATCCAGAACACATATCCAGAAACCACTTAACAATACCTTAGCAACCACCCAGAATGCCCAAGCAACCTCCATAACACCCATGCAACCACCTAGCAAACACCTAACAACCAACAAGAACACCATAGCAACAACTAGAAGTGCCTTAGCCACCACCTAGAACACCCTAGCCTATAAACCCCCTAACAACCACCCCAAATACCCCAGCAACAACCTAAAATGTCTTAGCAACCAATCAGAACCAAAATGCAAGCCCCTAGCAAAAACCCAGAACACCCTAGCCCATAATTTATTTAATGTATACAGCGCTTTTAACAATATAGCAGCTCAAAGCAGCTTTACAGTGATAATAGGAGATTACAGTAACAGAGATTGTTTAGGCTTTACAGCAGCTCTAGAATAAAGTTATTGTCCAGCTAAAGTTAGTTTTGATTGATTCACTTCCGTTGTAAAGATCATTAGTTATTAACTTACCGGCCGCTCAACGCAAAACGCAAACTGTGAAACAGGTTCAAAGGTGCAAGCTTTGAAAAATTGTGAAAAACGTTATCGTCTCCGTGTAAACTTCAAAAACGTGAATCTGAAAACGGTGACGGCGTGCACATTTTGTCTGTTGTCTTCCGGTTTGTATTTTCACTGCGATCTTATGTATTTATGAATGAACGGCTCATTTTAAAATCTTCCCGATGTACTGACATTTGTTAAGACATCTACTTTAAACATTACAATGCTCATGATAACTTTCGTTAACTCTACAATAAGTAAACCCCTTCACCAGCTAATCACTCCTCGACAGTGACGCCATAGAGATACACAGAGCGACCGCAACAACGCTAGTTCAAGGACAATATTCTAAAGTCTTGTTTCTCTGGCGCATACGGTCTATAGGTATAAGGTCTATAGGTATAAGGTATAGGTATAAGGTCTATAGGTATAAGGTATAGGTATAAGGTCTATAGGTATAAGGTCTATAGTTATAAGGTATAGGTATAAGGTCTATAGGTATAAGGTCTAGGTATAAGGTCTATAGGTATAAGGTATAGGTATAAGGTCTATAGGTATAAGGTCTATAGGTATAATGTCTATAGTTATAAGGTATAGGTATAAGATCAATAGGTATAAGGTCTATAGGTATAATGTCTATAGGTATAAGGTCTATAGTTATAAGGTATAGGTATAAGGTCTATAGGTATAAGATCTATAAGTATAAGGTCTATAGGTATAAGGTATAGGTATAAGGTCTATAGGTATAAGGTATAGGTATAAGGTCTATAGGTATAATGTCTATAGGTATAAGGTCTATAGTTATAAGGTATAGGTATAAGGTGTAGGTATAAGGTTTATAGGTATAAGGTCTATAGGTATAAGGTATAGGTATAAGGTATAGGTATAAGGTTTATAGGTATAAGGTCTATAGGTATAAGGTCTATAGTTATAAGGTATAGGTATAATGTCTATAGGTATAAGGTCTATAGTTATAAGGTATAGGTATAAGGTCTATAGGTATAAGGTATAGGTATAAGGTATAGGTATAAGGTTTATAGCTATGAGGTCTATAGGTATAAGGTCTATAGGTATAAGGTATAGGTATAAGGTCTATAGGTATAAGGTCTATAGGTATAAGACCTATTGGTATAAGGTATAGGTATAAGGTCTATAGGTATAAGGTTTATAGGTATAAGGTCTATAGGTATAAGGTATAGGTATAAGGTCTATAGGTATAAGGTCTATAGGTATAAGGCCTATTGGTATAAGGTATAGGCATAAGGTATAGGTATAAGGTATAGGTATAAGGTCTATAGGTATAAAGTCTTAGGTATAAGGTCTATAGGTATAAGGCCTATTGGTATAAGGTATAAGTTATAGGTATAAGGTATAGGTATAGAGTCTTAGGTATAAGGTCTATAGGTATAAGGTCTATAGGTATAAGGTATAGGTATAAAGTCTTAGGTGTAAGGTCTATAGGTATAAGGCCTATTGGTATAAGGTATAAGGTATAGGTATAAGGTATAGGTATAAGGTATAAGGTATAGGTATAAGGTCTATAGGTATAAAGTCTTAGGTATAAAGTCTGATCTTTACGCAGCATCTTTAATGTTCTCGTTTTAAACCAAATACAGTGTCAGAGTCATTAGCTGAGCAGCGTGGATGGACGCTTTGATTGTTGCTTCGAACTTAACTGCTCGGAAAATGCATGAAAGGACTGGGTTCCCATCGCAGGAATCCAGGCGGCTCGTCGCTTTGAAGGACTCGGGCTTGTGTGTGTGTGTGTGAGGGTGGGAAGAAGGTGGATCTATCCGGTGGCATTATTTCCCGGAGAGTAGCTCCGCTTCGCTGTTGACAGTTTTGTTTCTCGTGCATCTCCAGACACAAAAGCGGGCCCTGGGAAAGGAATGTCTTGGTGCTGAGGTAAAGACAACTGTCTCGGCTCGTTCCCATCGGCCGGCCCGGCACTCTTGGGATTTCTGGCTTCTTTCGCATCAGTAGCAATCCGAACGGCAGTCAGGCGTGGCCAGGGCATAATCTCAAGTTGTTTTAGCAGATGCTGCAGCTTCCTCTTCCCACAGTTTGGATCTGAGATCTGGGATCATGCGCAGATACAGGTGCGGATCCACTCACGGGTCAGAACGAGGACACCCGACTGAGAGAACCGGCTCGGACCAGCCTCAATCTCTCCGAGGCTTCGTCTACGCTAATCCGGAGACATTTCAAAACGCCGTTTTCGCTTAAAAACGCTCTGTCCACACTGCGTTTTCAGGCGTTTCAGTGCGGATGAGAAACTTTTGGAAAACGCCTGAAAACGCTAAATTCCCCTTTACTGCGCATGCGTAAACCCTCACGGAAGCTCACTGAGATGATACAGACGGGAAAATAAATAATAAAGTTATCGCGTAATTCTTCTGGCAGGATAATTTTATTTAGCAGAATATCTCAGCATTCACTGAAGCGTCCGGTCGCTCTCACTCACCGTTATATGTTTGGTCTAAAACACTAAAACTGCTCATGTTTAGCAAATGCGAGTGAATTCTGTCATCTGTGCAGGACTGTGATATGAAGAGTGTGTGAAGTAACATATTTTAGCGACTGTGTGAAAGTGAACCGCACATAACAGGCACAACACCGCTATAAACATGAATATCTATGGGTACAGTATGTGTCACATGACTAAACTTACATCATCGTTTTCCAATACCTCAGTTTTGACGTTCCACACTACAACACGTAGTGTTTTCAAATGTGTCCACTTTGGAGAGCGTTTTCAAAAAGCGTAGTTTTCATTAATAAAAAGGCCGGACGGAAGAACAAAGCGGTCGACTGAAAGAACCAGCCCGAATCTCTCTGAATCTGGTTTATGATGCAGATCAACATGCTATACGCTGAGATCCAGTCTTGATATATATGGGTTTAAATATGTGACCCTGGACCACAAAACCAGTCATAAGTCGCATGCGTATATTTGTGGCAATAGCCAACAATACATTGTATGGGTCAAAATTATCGCCAAAAATCATTAGGATATTAAGTAAAGATCATGTTCCAGGAAGATATTTTGTTATAAAAAAAAATATTTGTGTGAGTGAATGCAGCAAAATCGCAAACATAATTGGCCAACTTTAAAGGCGATTTTCTCAATGTTTAGATTTTTTTTGCACCCTCAGATTCCCGATTTTCTCTGTTGTATCTATGTATAAATCTCAATTTAAAATATTGACCCTTGTGACTGGTTTTGTGGTCCAGGGTTACATTTATCCTCTATTCTTACTAGAGGGTTTGTTTAATGAGGTTTAAATATGTAAGGTATATATTTAAGTGTAAATATGGAAGGGGTATTGTTTGTACAATCATTTAATTTTCTTTTTTCTTTCACCTTTTTTCAGATTGATTTATTGGAGTGCTGAGCCATAATAATAATAGTAACTTCCTTTTTCTTTTTTCCTTTCTCTGTGTTGTTCTCTTATTCAATTTTAGGTTATGTTTGTAATGCTTGAAAATTAATAAACACATTTAAAAACAAACAAAAAAAAAACATGCTATACGCTGGAGAGCAGTAACACACAACCCTCACCAAATCCTGATGTGCATTTAAACAGTAACTGAACTTTATCTAGCAAATAATCATTGTACTTATGTCATTTATTAACAAAATAGCGCATAAAAGTACTGATGGGAGTGGAAAGTTATGCGCGTGATCTACTGACGACACGCAAATTAAAGAACAAGATAATTTCCATAATGACCAACACAATCTACCAGGAGCAGCGCAAATTACTGTCTTGCTTTTAAATAATTGCACAAATACCAGTAAATTGACGAGCGCAAACTTTAGTAAATCACCCTGCATGATTCATTTAAATACTCTCCTCCCATAAATACGTCTGAAAGGGAGACAAATGCAATAAAGTCGGCCGCTAAAATAACCCAGTCCACGTCTTTTCAGCACTAATTTTGCACTGTGTGTCTTCAGTAAATCCTGACAGCAGTTTTTAACGCCAAAAGAGGGTTTGCGCTGAAAGCTGTTAGTAAATCAAGTAAGCTCAAGTTGAGCTCAATCGACAGCATTCATGGTATGATGTTGATTACTGCTAAAAATATTATTTTGGTTTGATCTTTTTCTTAAAAAAAAGCACACACGTGGCACTTACAACGATGCCAATCTGTAAACATTAAAGTCCCCCTGTAGTCAATAATATTATTCCTTAAAACTCATCTTTGATAACCAAGTCCCCTGTGGTGTAAATCCAGCTTTTAATGTTGTTTATGTGTGTATGTGGTGTTTTTAATATGCTTTAAGACAAACCATGTGTAAATTCATAAGTCGACAGCATTGCTGAGTATTTTCTGCTTAAACTGCAGTGAACTGGCCTGGGAAAACACAGACAACTTCCGGCAAATTTAGATTTGCTCTGAAAGTTAGTCTGGCAAAGCTCATTCAAGCCCATTTCCAATCCGCCGAAATCGCGGCACCAATCAGAAACGTCGGGGCGGGCTTTACACGATGACGACAGCGCTGGGATTTTGAAGCAGATTTTGTAGCCTACATTACAAAGATGGATGCCGCCGTCGAACATCACTCGTTCCAATCAGCTATCGCGTCTGTTTTAAGCCATTTGAACGTTTCCTTTTAGTTAAAAACCGAGCAAAGAACAACACTCGGAGATGTTTCTCCGCCGCTCTGCATACGTCATCTCCTTCATCGCTCTGATTGGGTTTAGGTCTATCCGCGACGTCCGTTGGTGACGCCCCTCTGGAAATGATTTGTCTATGACGCTTTGCCAGTTACAACTGAGAATGGTCTGGTTTTAACCAGGCTAGCAGTGAACCAAAGACAGTCTCAAAAACACGGTTTGAAATCGCTGGTGTTTCTGACATCACAAACGACCTTGTAACCAATCAGATCAACGTGTGATCGTCAACCAGTGGACCAGTGAGTGAGTGGAGGCAGGGCTCATTTGCATATTCATAGAACCACGCATACTAAAAAAGAAAAACATTTAAATATGTCATTTTGGTGATCAAAGATGAGTTTTAAGGGATAAAATGATTGACTAAAGCGGGACTTTAACAGATTTTACCATATTTACATGCATTCCACCTAAAACCAGTGCAGTATCTGCTTGAACTGGTCTATTTAGTTTGTAAAGATGTAAAGGCGTGAGTACCTGGAAGTCGTTGGCTTTGTTGTAGTGCATGTTGAGGGCGCGGAAGAGCTCGGACTCTCTGGTGATGGAGATGTCTTTCACATCGGTCACGCCGTCTATGATGGCCTGGCGAGCAAACTTCTCCATCTGGATGTAGTAGAACTCCCTGAAGTTGCTGAACCACTTGATCAGCTGGGACGTGATGCAGCGATTGAACTAAAAACATTCAAAAATGATAAGAGGGATTGAGAGGGACAATAAATCCAATCCAACTTTATTTGTAAAGCACATTTAAAACAACCAGGTTGACCAAAGTGCTGGACATTGACATGATTTCGGACAGATTATAAACACATGAGTAACACAAACAAACCTTTAAAACAAGGGACAAACTAAAAAATAAAAATGCAGAATACAACTCTCAAGCAGGTTTAAAGACCAATGAATAAAAGTGAGTTTTTATTGTGTGATATCTTTATATTGTATATTGTATATTGTATATTTATATATTATATTGATATTGTGTGACTCTTATAAGCAGTTTGCATCAATGTAATACATTTTTTATCATTGGTCTGACAGCGCTCGTCAATGTCAGAATGATTGAGCTGACCAATCATAAAGAAGGGGGGCTTTACTCTTCACAAAACTCAAACATGTATTCCAGCGCGACTCGTATCTAAACTCGTATCTAAACATTTAAAATCTGTTTGCGATTCAAACTACTCTACTTTTTTTTCCTATTTTGCCATTTTGAATTTAAAATATAGATGTGACAAGAGAAGAAACCTTAACTTAGTCGTTTCCGCATATTGGGCTTATGATAAAGAGTGAATGGTGCGTATTTTAAACATAAAACATACGATCAGCAAGGGTGTGAAAGTTGAACGGGGTCATTTCTGTGAATTCAGTCCTTTATTCTGTCTTGTGGACGATAGAAACTGAAAATCTGTTACGTGAAATAGCTTATTCAGGGCAGTGCTATATATAAACAACAACATGCAATTAATGATCCATCTTAGTTTTTTTTAATGATTGACATTTTGCAGATTCTGCGAGGTGTGTGTCTTCAACAACACATAAGGCTATTTAAAAGAGTGCATTTGATAGAATATTTTAGAGCTGAGCAAAAACTACTTCACTGGAAACATCACTGGAAATCACAATTTTAAAATTGCCTCAAGTTTCGAGGTTGACCATGTTTCAACGCTTTGACTATAGAGACTATAAAGCTGTCATGTGCTCAAATGATGACGTCCTGAGAAGCGATCGGAAAAACATGGGAAAACTGGATGGAGAGCAGGAGAAAACCCGTAAGGAACAAGCGTGGCACTACTTCTTTCATAAATGTTTGTTGGGTGACACTTTATAATAACGGTCCGTCATTAATAAGTAACTATGCAGGACGAATGAGTAGTCATACATTAACACTTCAGCTACTACTATTAACTACTATAGAAACACGCTCAGTTTTAAATCAAATTTAGGAGATTCCTTATTAGGTAATCAATGATTACTTGATGGGATTTGCCTTATTAATAGCTATTAACTAAATGACAAATTATAAAGAACATTATCGTGTGTCTGAGACGTAATCAGTCATCATGTTTACTCTGATTATAGTTATAAAATGCATCACTAATTACTCAAGTGTACCTATTTTACTTTATTTATACATCTTTTTCACTTTAAAATAAACTTGAGTAATTAGTGATGCATTTTATGACCTCGTTGAGAGTAAAAAAAAGACAATTGCTAACGTCTCAGACACGTTAATGTTGTGATTAGTAATTAAATAATAATTCTTATGATTATAATTCTTATAATGCCAATCTCATTAAGTAATCATTGATTACCTAATAAGGAACTATCTTAGTCCTAAATTTGATATTACTTACTGATTAGTTGAGCGTGTTTCTATAGTAGTTAATAGTAGTAGCTGAAGTGTTAATGTATCGCATTAGTCCTGCATAGTTACTTATTAATGACGGACCGTTATTATAAAGTTGTTTGTTGTTGTTGTTGTTGTTGTTGTTATTCTAGCGCTGGCTTTCCACACTATTTTCACATTTAATCGGCTGTAGTCACTCCTCGTCTTTCCCAGGCGATGTCTTGCACACAGAATAGCATCTATCCAAACAGCAGATGAAACTGCCATTCACATCAGCCCTGTTATTACAGCACTGATCCGATCTCAGAGCTCGAGCTGCCCAAGGCCCAGAGACGCTTCTTCTGGTGGAGTGTGAGAAAGGGGTCAGGAGGAGAGTGGCTTCGGCTGACGGGAATGGGATCGGGCACTGGGATTAGTCCAGGCTTTGTGTGCTGTGACTTCCCACAGGACAGCGAGGAGTTCGCCGGGACTCTCCTTGCTCCTTGATTCCAGTTCACATTGATACGCGGAAGAAAAAAATCTGTATAATTCATTTTTAAGGCCAGACAAGTAATTTGGTGAGGTCAATTTGTAGAGCAAGAGTACACGCCTGCGCACATATATAATCAAACGCGCATGTACACGCTGTCAGCGCTTTCACAGATCAGCGTTTTTGAAGTTTACACGGAGATGATAACGTTTTTCAACGCTTGCACCGTGAAACCTGTTTAGGGTTTGCGCCGAACACTGTTGTGTGAATGAGCGGCCGGAGCCGTTAAAGGGATAGTTCACTTTGGAATTCATTTTTGGTATGTTTTAGCTTACCTCAAGGGCATCCAAGATGTTTAAACCGTCGTAAAAGAAAAGAATTAAAAATAAAAACAATTGTATGAGTGACGTACACAAGCGAGAGATCACTTCCGGCGCTTGCCGGAAAAGACCGAAGCACCGGCGCCCTCAGATCACTTGGACGTGGCTGTGTTTACAAGAGGTAAAACGATATAAATACTGTTCGTTTTCTCACACAAACCGCTCGTTTCGTGTCTTAGGCCCCTAAGTTAAAGTCCCACTCCGATCATATTTTGAGCTATTTTAAAACATTCCCAGTGGTCTTTAAATTATGATTATGCCATTTTTAGCCAAAATCACAAAACCTGTGCCGTTTTCTGGGACTTCGCTTCAGCAGAGCGGCAGTTGCTCATTAGCAATTCGCCTCTGCGTTGTGGGCGGAGCCGTTGGCACGGAGACGCCCCTCCCCCTGCCCGTTGCTGAGAGCTCTGTCTCTCCCGCTAGCTTACACCCCCAATACCGGTGGGGCAACAGTATTATATACACGTTAATTATTATTATCCGAAGTTAATCAAAGTTATCACCGATCATTATTTCACTCCAAGACGCCGCGTGTGGAGACGCCCAGTGGAGTTAATACGTCACAACTCCAGTCTATTTTAGCCGGCATTTTAGCGTCTGCTACTGATTCACAGCCATTTGAATGTAGAAATACTCAGAAATACAACTTTGAGCTTATTTTTCTCAAGATATGTCCTCTAACATCGGAAAAATGCCACAAGAACATGTTAACACCTAGAAAAACATTATTTTCATCGGAGTGGGTCTTTAATAACTAATGATCTTTGAATCAAGTGAATCAATTAAAACTAACTTTAGCTGGACAATAACTTTATTCTAGAGCTGCTGAGAAGCCTAAACTATCTCTGTTACTGTAATCTCCTATTATCACTGTAAAGCTGCTGTGAAACAGTCTGTGTTGTTAAAAGCGCTGTATAAATGAAGCTGACTTGACTTGCTGACGATCAGTGGAAAGCTCCTCATCTTTTACAGTGAACTTAATTCTCTGAGCCATTTTTCTGCTTTCTGTGTGTATCATTTGCTTCCTTAAAGTCCCCATGAAATCAAAATTGTAATCTTGAATCAGAATAACTTCCTTTTTAGAATAACCAGAATAACTTTTTTATTTATTTATATATATTAGTATTTTTTCTAAATGATTTATAGGTGCACATCATCATTATTGTATTAATAATCTTGAATGAGAATAAGTTGCAGCATCTCTTCTCTTCTCTGATGACGAGGGCGGGGCTATAACCTGTCACTCACATGAGATCAGCCAATAGCAAACCACAACCATCCAATCAATCCCTCACAGACACAATCAAGCCCCGCCCCGCTCTTGTTCGAGAAGCGTTTCACTCGATATACGACACAATAGAGGAGAATAGACTTCAGTTTCCGTCATGGATTTGTCACATACTGTTGTGGTCATATTTGTTGGGTGAAGAAACATCCTCATGACTGATTACTGATATAACCAAGCCTTCATGAAACATCACTTTCAAAACCAATATTATCAGACAAGCTTTTGTGCTTTTCTAATATTAGTCTGTGGAGAATCTGTGATGTAAAACAGCATTTAATAGAAATTATCTAAATACACAGTAACACTTTATTTGAAGGTGATGTAGTTACACGTTACTACATGTACTTACAATAGTAATAACAGAAGATTATGCATAATTACAAGTAACTAACGCTAAACCAAACCCTAATGTAACTCTATAGTTAGTACATGGTTAATTAATATTAGTACTTACGTCACCTTAAAATAACGTGTAGCCAAATACACTTCCGCCTTTAAAAATAACATCTCTATCTAGCTGACATTATATCTTTAACATCATCAAATCTGTTCGTCCACATGATTCAGACTAAAACAGTTTCTCTCATCTCTCGTCAGTATTTTATGTTCCTCAACCTCACCAATATTGGTGTGACGAGGTTTAGTATAAATTGTGACTTTCAACAATGAAACAGGGTTTTACAAAGAGATTTTTCTTCAATAATGTGCAATTTATTATAAAGAACAAAACAAAACTGAATCTTATTTAAATAATATATAATATAGTTCTATGTAATATATAATGTTTCACTTCAGGGTTTGGCTTGTGGATAGTAATTGTAGATAGCCTTAGAAAGGCTGTAAGCACATATTTAAGACTGTGGATAATAGTTTAATCTGTTAACTGTAAAATTAACTGTAAAAAGTTGATATCACAAAAAATTAGGTTCCTGTGAAATTTAGTTTAGGCGCTGTACCAAAAATAGCCACTGGGTGACGGCCACAGTTTATTGAATTTTGTTTAGGCAGCGGCTAAGTGAAAATAGCGATAGATTCTAAAAATAGCAGTATTTTCTTTGCAATAAGTAGTAGTTAGATGCTATTTATACTTATAAATAGTGGCAGATAATATTTGCAACTCAGTGTTGTTGTACATTAAACGGTATGCAATAATAACATAGAGAGTCAATTATTATATTCATTAAAATCATTAAATGGATGCGCTTCCTACACCTACCCCTAACCTTAAACACTTTATTATTAAACACGTGTTAGACACTTTATTATTTACACTTTTTGAATATTTTCTTAATTTTTATTGAAAATAAATGCCTATCTGATCTGATATGTGATGGGAAAAGCGAGTAAGTGGGTCAGTGGGCGGAGTTAGTGTAAATAAAATTAAAATATTATGATATTATTATAATATTAATGATATTATTTCTGTCACAATATCACTTCTATCAAAACAGCAACCGATATGCAACCTTGAGTCTCCGCCCTTTCCGACCATACATGTTTTGTCAAGATTAGAAAAAGATTTGGTTATAAAATAGTGAAATAAATGTTGTAATATGAAACTTGACACCGCCCACAAGGGGGAGGAGCTTAATCAAAGTTATTAAAGTACCAATTTCAAAATGTTTTTCACAGGATGATTTATGATGAGTACTGAAATATGTGATGGGGAAAATTGACAGTTAACAGGTTACGAATCGTCCATTTAAAAACACATTTTTCGAAGGATGAAAAATATATTTAACAAAATTATTCGTTTTTTTGTTTTTTTTTTTGAAATATTCAAGCATGACACTGATGAAGGGTTGAACCCGAAAACGTTTTGCACTCTTGCACTTTATTTGTGGCCTCAGGACAATAAAATCCCGTGGGCTTTTTGGCCTATATTGATGTGCCGATCTCTTGTTTCCTATTTTTGATTTACTTTTGGATCTACGCACCGCGAGAAGATATCACTCATCAGTTTGGGACTAATGCTTGACGCTACGCCTTTCCATCCTCTTGAAATATTTAATCACAAATGTTACGGTTTTCTGACTGAATATACACTTAACAAAATTATACTGCACATTTTAGAGTGGCCTTTTATTGTGGGCAGCCCTAAGGCACACCTGTGCAATAATCCTGCTGTCTAATTAGCATCTTGATATGCCACACCTGTGAGGTGGATGGATTACCTCGGCAAAGGATGCTCACTAACACAGATTTAGACAGATTTGTGAACAATATTTGAGAGAAATAGGCCTTTTGTATAAAACGTCAGCTCGTGAAAAATGGGGGCAAATACAAAAGTGTTGCGTTTATAATTTAGTTCGGTGTGTGTAGTGTCTTAAACTGTAGGGTTCATTGATGTGCCGTCTGATTGAGAACCAACGAGAGAGTCATGGAATAACACACAAGCTTTTCCCTGTTGTGTTGACTCATCACAACACTTGTGCCTCAGGACACGTTACACACTCACAGGATATGCCGCTAGACACACACACACACACACACACACAGCTCAGCGCTCTGCTATTGTAGTCTGGTGAAAGCTGGCGGGCTGAAGGGTTAACGCTGAATAGAGGAGGTTGTGCTCCTCTCCACAGACTCTTTTGTCTCCTTTTGCTGACTTGAGAAACTCTTCTTTTAACTTTGTCAGAGTTAAACCAGCAGTTCGGGAATTGCCACCCCAACACACACGAATATTTGCTCAAGCGTCTAATTTTGTGTTATTTTTCTGTATTTCTGCTAAAGCAATTGAACGTTCTTTTCTGAATTCACAATCCATCACTCAATGTGAATTTATTTTATGTTTAACTGATTATTAGGATAAATATAGATTAAGATACAAAGAGATAAAAGTAATAATGTTTTACTTATAATTAGGGCTGTCAAATGATTAATCGTGATTAATCACATCCAAAATAAAAGTTTTTTTTACATAATATATGTGGGTGCACTGTGTATAATTATTTTGTATATATATAAATACACACACATGCATGTATATTTAAGAAAAAAATATTATTTATATATAAAATATTTATATTTATATATAATATAAATTATATATAAATCTATATACAGTATATACATGAAAATATTTCTTAAATATATACAAGCATGTGTGTGTATTTATATATATAAAATAATTATACACAGTGCACCCACATATATTATGTAAAAAAAAACTTTTATTTTGGATGTGATTAATCACGATTAATCATTTGACAGCCCTACTTATAATATAAATATAAATAATTGGTTTACTGGACACAGGTTCTATATGGAACCATAAGGCTCTTCATATAAACAACCTTCCATCATGGGATCATTTTATGGATCAGTTTTAATATGGTCCTATGATGACGATGCAGAAAACACGGACGAAATCGCGTAATTTACTGTATAATTTAACGGAATTTGTCAGATTTTTGATGTATAAATAAAAAGCAGGTCAGTACACTTAAATCACGATATAGACTAATGTCTGTGAATATTAAACTTCAAAAATACTATTTCAAAATGAATCCTGCATGTTCTGCGTGTCACTGAATGGTTTCATTTCAACACGTCAAAATAAAAGTTCGGTTTAACTTGAAGAAATTGTGACAGAAAAACATTACTGGTGTACAGTAGCTTTTAGCTACGTCTCAATGTAATAATAATACGAACACTAATTATTATTAAAACTTTATTTTTTAATAATGTTGTCCATTTGTTTGACAAAAAAGTTTGTTTAATTTCATATGATTAAATTATAAATTAAATTAATGTTTGATTGCCAGAAAAAGGCACAAAAAAATCATAGAAATGAAAAGAAAAGTAAAAAATAAAAATAATTGTTTTTGTGAATTCAATTTATTAGACATGCTTTTTTGATTATTTCAATTTAATTAAACCAGTAAAATGGAATCCACAGAATTTAGTAAAAAATAAATAAACGGAATTAGAGAAAAAAATAAAATAAAACCCTACACAATGTAATTTTTGTTAAACTTTTTTTTTATAAATTGTTGTTAAATTGTATACGTTTCATGATTTCAATTAATCAGACATGCTTTTTGATCTCTAAAATTTAACTAAATCACTAAAATGGAACGGAATTTGAAAAAAAACTAATAAAACTGATTTAATAGGGCCATAAATTATATTTTTTATGAATTTTTAATAAAACATTTTTTTTTTAATTAAGCAGCTCATAAACATACTTTATCACTAGAAAAAACATGAAATTATTATGCAAGACATTCCTCCTTAACCTTTTTGGCATAAATGGTTCTTCAAAATTGAGTCGAGATTCTATAAAGAGTTCTGATATAAAACCCTACTTTTCTAATAGTGATCACAATATAGTAAATAGGAGAAGCAATACTGACCCATAATTTGATAACACAAGTGCTCATGTAAATGACTGTGCATTGTCCCTTTGGAAATAAAGTAAAGATAAACGTATGAGCCATGATTGTGTGAAACACAGTGACATACCTTGACATCGGGGAAGAAGTTCTTGAGTAAGTTTGAGCTCGGGTAGCGTGTGTAGAAGAACATCAGTTTGGCTTTCTTCAAATGGTTTGGGGTTAGACCTTCCTGAATGTGAAGAGCGTCAAGGCCTCAAAAACCTCACGATAAATAAAGATCTGGCGAATATGACCTCGATTCAGCGTTGCGCATTAACACACACTCCCAAACAAACACGCATCAATTTGTCCAATTCATCGGCCCAAATGAATTAACAGCTCTGTGTTGACCAGAGAACCGATTAAGACACGGCAGCAGAAAAGACAAAATAATTAGATTAAGGGCATCCAATACAAGCCGTTTGCTCCATATCTGCCTGTAATAATTGCTTTGCTGCAAAACACACAGATGATTTTCCTCAGTGAGGATGAAGAGGATCAGCTTACGTCGTTTCACACAGTGAAATAATCCAGAGTTTCTTTTTAAAATACATTGTTTAGCTCAAAGAGACAACGTAAAAGACAAACAGCTGCTATTATTAAACAATCAATCACTTTGAAATAGGAGCCACAATATTGAAATCATAACCAAAGTGCATTATACAAATCTAATGATGTTTAAAAGCGAAGCATCCTGCAATATTGTCACATATGTGTGTGTATATACAGTCAAACCCAAATGTATTCAGACTCCTTCAACATCTCTCACATTATCACAGTTTATTCGCTATAGTTTAGAAAATGGTGATAAATATGAGCAGAACTCAGTGGATATTTGACTGGTTTTGTCCGTCCTTCTGTTAGACTCTCACACATGAATTATGTTGAATATCTGTCAGCTGTTAAATTTAACTACACAATTAGATAATACCAGTTTAGCTCAACCAGTGACCAAGCAATGCTTCATGTTGTTCAGTCTGTGTGTAAAAAGAGCATTAGCAATTACAGAAAACATGATCAGCTCAAAGTGTCTTAATCTTTTTAGCTCCCAAGTGTGTATAAATGTAACCGGTAGTCACTGTATGAAGAATATTTGGGTGTAATATGTCACAGTTTACTTTATTTTGCTCTCCTCACTTACATAAATGAACTATACTGTCCTGCACACACTAGTAGAAAAATATCAAAAATTACATCTGGTGTCTGTATAATTTCTGGTTTGACTGTATATCTATATGTGACTCTGGCCATTGATGCTGGTGTATAATGATGGCTGAGAGCTTGCTTTTCACAAACAACCAAAAGTGACCTCTCTCATCCACTCCGATCGCATTGAGAGTGCAGAAACATATCCCGCACCTTTTCAAGTCCGAGGGGGGAAAAAATCAGAGAATTTCCAGAAGAGAAACTGTTGCTTTTTCTGCCTTTGAAAATTGGCTTTTGTTCCTAACAATTCTTATCAAAGCCTTGTATTCCTTTTTATTTGTCTTTTCCTGGACTTAAAGTCATTACTGAGCCCAGATTAAAGAAGATGCTACAATTTTCTTTGGGGTTACCGAGATCAAAGCAGAAATTCTCCTTGAAGTCTGCGTCGGTGGAACGGCTCACCGCTGCACTCAATCCTGCGATTGTTCGCCGAGCTCGAGAGCTGGTCGTTTGTTCAGCGCTATCTCAATGTTAACTACTAGATATTAAATAAAAACAGTCAACTAAACAAAGGGGGGGCTTTTTCAAAAGCAGCTCAAGCTAAACAAAGAACATCATCCGCGGATAAAACCCTCTCCTGAAACATGGAGCGTGTTTCTTTCTTGCAAACAACTTAATGAAACTATGAAAAGGAAAACCAGCAGTGAGATTTCTTTAATAAATCTCAGTGGCAGCAATATGGCTAAATAGAGGCTTTTCTCTGTCATCTGAGATGTTTCTCCTGAGAAAAAATAATAATCAATAAGATTTGCAGATTTGCAGAAAACACTTGAACTCTAAAGACTGTGACCTCAATATATAAACGCATTTCTCATCTGCTATCCACGTTCAACACTCCCACTTTTGACTCACTACATTAAGGTTTCACTTGTCATGAGTCTACAGCCTTTATAAATTATCTTAATTTTAACATTTACTGATATGTTTTTAAAGTTGTAACATTTGTTAATGCACGGTGAACTAACACAAACAACTGATTTTCTATTATCTGGCATTAACCAATATTAATAAATGCTTTAAAAATATATTGCTTGTACTTATTGCATGTTAGATAATGCATGTTGACAAAATAGACCTTATTGTAGTGTTGCCATTTTATTAATATTATATTATTTATATTTTATATTTTATATATTTTATTATAATAGTAATATTTATATTACTATATTTATTAATAATATAATTAGAATTTCAGGAGAGAGAAAAACCATACTTCAAAAAAACATCAATCTCCTTCTGGGCGATATTTCCACTCTATTTCAGAACTGTAAAAGGCGCTTCTTATACGGAATTATTTAGAGTTATTTAGAACTTTAGAGTTCCATTTAGAACCCTAAGAGACACTTTCAGCTTAGATGAGAGAGATTTAACTTTACTCAATCACTTTTGATATCATTTATTGTTCTGTTTGGGCATTAAAGGAAAAGACTAGAGATGCACCGATATGAACATTTTGGCCGATACCGATAACCGATAATTCTTTATATTTGAAAGCCAATAACCGATAATTTTGGCCGATAAATCCAAATTTGTTTATAATTTTTGAGAGCCTGATTATAAAAACAAAAGTCTCATAATGTCCCAATCACACAATTATAATAATGTTCTCAATATAATTGTATGTAGCCTATATGACAGACTTGTGTTGTACTTTACTGTATTTTCTTTTTTTGAAGTGATTCCAATCATATTTCAAGCAATTCAAAAGCATCATGTTGAACAGTGCGCATCTGAAGTGTCTCAGCTGAAGGAAATAATACATTATTTATCGGCTTTAATATATCAGCTAAATTTTCTTATCAGGGCGATAATGGTAACATTAAAAATGATCATATATCGGTGGATACCGATATATCCGCCGATATATTGTGCATCCCTAAAAAATACTTTTTTTCTTCTGAGCTGAACCCTAAGATATATTTTCAGCTTAGTTGAGAGAAATTTAATTGTACTCAATCACTTTTGATATCATTTATTGTTCTGTTTGGGCATTAAAGGAAAAGACTAGGGATGCACCGAGTAGATAACCGATAATTATTTATATTTGAAAGCCGATAACCGATATATCGGCCGATAAATCTTAATCCAAATTTTTAGATAATTTTTGAGAGCCTGATAAAAAAAAAAAAAGTCTCATAATGTCCCAATCACACAATTATAATAATGTTCTTCGATAAAAATAACATTAAAAAAATTATCATAAATCGGCCGATACCGATATGGTGGCCATTATATTGGCCATCAACACGCACCAATGCTATATTTTCTAAATGTCACAATCATTTGTTAACAAACAAGTATTCATTACTTCAATGAGCTCATCGTTTCTGCATTAAATTATTACATTGTTTAAATTAACACAATTTTAGCTAACTGTGACTTTGTACATTTCTGAAATACTTAACTTAGACAGTTCCCTCTGATAACAGATCACTAAATTGTAATGTGGACTCTTGCACTTTCTGTAAAGCTGCTTTGAAATGAAGCGCTATACAAATAAACGTGAATTGAATTGAATATATCATGCATCCCTAAAAAAGACTTTTTTCTGATGTTTTGAAGATTGTTGGTTTTTGGTCGGACTAATACAGAAAACACTGAAGAATAATAAAGTGTTACAGGTTGAAAGGATATATTGAGCGCCATTTAAAAATGATTGGTCAAGTCACCTTCATTTATATACGCTTTTAACAACACAGACTGTTTCAAAGCAGCTTTACAGTGATAATAGGAGATTACAGTAACAGAGATTGTTTTGGCTTTACAGCAGCTCTAGAATAAAGTTATTGCCCAGCTAAAGTTAGACTGGAAACACTTTACAATAAGGTTCATTAATTAACATTAGTTATTGCATTAACTAACATGAAGTAACAATGAGCAATACATTAGTTACAGTTTTTATTAATCTTTGTTAATGTTAGTTAATAAATATCCAGGTCTTCATGTTAGTTCAAAGTGCATTAACTAATGGTAAATCCAACCTTTGATTTCAATAACGTATTAGTAAATGTTGACATTAATATTAACTAAGATTAATAAATGCTGTAGAAGTATTGTTCATTCTTAGTTCATGTTAACTAATTAACCTTATTGTAAAGTGTTACCAAATGATCATATATTGGCCGATACCGATATGGTGGCCGATATATCGTGCATCCCTAAAAAAGACTTTCTTTCTTCTGATGATGTTTGGAAGGTTGTTGGTACTCAAACCCTTTTACAAAATACAAAAACACTGAAGAATAATAAAGTGTTACGGGTTGAAATAAGACGGGTTGAAAAACCAATAACCGATATATCGGCCGATAAATCTAAATCCAAATTTTTATATAATTTTTGAGAGCCTGATTACAAAAACAAAAGTCTCACCATTTAAATCCACATCCCAATCACACAATTATGATGTTCTCATTATAATTGTATGTAGCCGATATGACAGACTTGCGCTGCACATGTTGCACTTTACTGTATTTTCCTTTTTTGAAGTGATTTCAATCATATTTCAAGCAATTTCAAGCAGTGCGCATCTGAAGCGTCTCAGATGAAGGAAATAATACATTATTTATCGGCTTTAATATATCGGCCAAATGTTCTTATCGGGCCGATAACAATAACATTAAATATTATCATATATCAGCCGATACCGATATGAAACCTAAGAGACACTTTCAACTTAGATGAGATAGATTTAATTGTACTCAATAACTTTTGATAACATTTATTGTTCTGTTTGGGCATTAAAGGAAAAGACTTTCTTTCTTCTAAGCTGATGTTTTAAAGATTGTCGGTATGGTATTGTAAAGTGTACCGATACCGATATATTGTGCATCCCTAAAAAAGACTTTCTTTCTTCTGAGCTGATATTTGGAAGGTTGTTGGTACTCAAACCCTTTTGATACAAAAACACTGAAGAATAATAAAGTGTTACGGGTTGAAAGGATAAGACCAAAAAGCCGATAACCGATATATCGGCCGATAAATCTAAATCAAAATTTTTATATCATTTTCGAGAGCCTGATTATAAAAGCAAAAGTCTCATAAGCTCCCAATCACCTGAACCTTATTGTAAAGTGTTACCAAATTATCATATATCAGCCGATACCGATATATCGTACATCCCTAAAAAAGACTAAACTGATGTTTTCCAAACCCTTTAGGTCGGACTGATACAAAAAACACTGAAGATTAGCCTAATAAAGTGTTATTTATTATTGAAAGGATATATTGAGGGCCATGAAGGAGCTCCTCTCCATGCTCTGCAGATCCGCACACTCCATCTTCACATGCGGGAGACAGAGCGAGTCCACCGGGACCAGTCCTGCGGGATGATGGTGGTGCTGACCCAGATGATGAGCCTTGGACCTCATGGCCACGCTTTCCCAGGAATGCTCCATGGAGTCCGGAGACGCCCTCTCCAGGGAAGCGGGAACACAGGGGAGCCCGGAGAAGGCCGAGTGCGGGCCGTACTTCAGGAGGTGCTCGAGGATCTGGCTGTCGTGTAAGGGAGTGTTGTAGCCGAACTGGAAAGGGGTTTGGTGGAGCGGGAATGGTCGCTTAACTCCCGGGATCATCTGGGATTGGGAAGGCTTACGGACTACTAAGGATAACGCTTCGGTTTGGCTGTCGCTTTCAAAGTGCTCCCTGCCGACCTCCTCCGAGTCGGATATCTCGGAGCGGGAGTCGTCCTGGCTCGGCTTGTACTCCGGACTCGTGCTCGGCTTCATCGCGAGCTTCTTGAAGACTGAATCGATGCTTTCGCTCACGGTCCGGGTCAACTCGCACTTTAGAGTCTCCTGGAGGTTTTTGGCGGTGGATTCGCGGCTCAGTCCCGGTTTGGGCTCGCCCTCGGAGTCGTACACGTGCGAGATCTTCTCCTGGAGCTGATGCAGGAGTCTCTGCATGCTCTGAAGCTGCTCCTTGAGCTTGTGGCACTCCTCGTCTTTGCTCGTCTTGGGTTTGGCGTCGGGCTCCTGGTGGAGCGGCAGCTTCTGCTTGCGTTTGTCTCGTCGGGAGCGAACGGATTCGCAGTCTCGTTCCGGATCCCCGTGTGATCCCGCCATTCCTCGGATTATGTTTTCCACGCGTGCACGCTTGGCTTGTAGATGTTGCTCGACATCCGCCGACAGATCCTCGCCCCCGCTCTGCTCCTCGTCCGTCGCACCGGACTCGTTCGCGCAGTAAAGCATGTCGAGCGAGCTCAGCTTGCTGTGGATGGTCTTCCGCAGGAGGTGGGATATGACGGAGCCGTTGTAGGGAGCGAGAGGCTCGTCGTACGCGCTCCTGCGGAAACAAGGGAGCATCTGCTCGGATCGGTTGCCCTCCGCACACCCGTCGCTCTGCTCTGCTGGACTCAGATTCATGCTTGTCACAGTCCGTCTGAGCCTTAAAAATCTGTATTAGAAGTAAATAAAATCAGAAATACATTAGGCATTGCAATAACTTAGCATTCTGCACCACACACACGGCTGTCTTATCCTTTAATGCACATGAAAAATTGTTTTATTAAACATATTCATTGAATTGTGAGAATTGTTTAATATATATATAAAATAATTCGGTTCATCTTTTTTTAGTAGTGCATAAAATCAGAAATACATTAGGCATTGCAATAACTCTGCATTCTGCTGTTGGTTTTCTTACTGCATTATAAACATATAACGACACCTTAAAATGAAGTGTAACCAATATGTTTAATAAAAAATAGTTTTGCGTGCATTTAAGGATGAGATGCCGTTTGAGCCTTAAAAATCTGTAATAGTAGTAAATAAAATCAGAAATACATTAGGCATTGCAATAACTCTGTTGGTTTTGCATTATGAATATATAATTACACTGTTACAATGACACCTTAAAATAAAGTGTAACCAATATGTTTCATAAAAAAAATGGTTTTGTGAGCATTTAAGGATAAGATGCTGCTAATATGCAATGCTTATATATATATATTAATGCTGATAATATCTCTGCTGGACTCAGATTCATGCTTGTCACAGTCCGTTTGACCCTTAAAAATCTGTAATAGTAATAAATAAAATCAGAAATACATTAGGCATTGCAATAACTCTGCATTCTGTACCATGCATCTTATTCTTAAATGCACACACAACTATTTTTTATTAAACATTGAATTGTGAGTATTGTTTATTATATATGTTTTACTTTTTTGAGCTGATTCATGTTATTCAAACAGAACAGAGAAATAACACAATATTATATTACATTAAAATAACATACAATAACATTATATCATAAGATAGTTACAAGAGCAAAAAAATAATGTTTTTTTCATTTATATTTAAAGTGCGTTTCATATCAGTTAGACTTTCTAATTATCTCTATATATGTCAATCTGAATACATACTCTATACATACTTTGAACGTTAATATTCAATGTAAACACGAGTTATATATATATGTTTCATATCTAAATATGAAACATAGCCTACATTTTCGACTACGTGTCTTTATGAAACTAATTATGTTCAACTTTTTTGAGCTGATTCCTATGTTATTCAAACAGAACAGAGAGATAACATAATATTATAATATTACATTAAAATAACATTATTTCATAAGATAGTTACGAGAGAGAAAAAAATCATGTATTTTCATATAAGTGCATTTCATATCAGTTTGGATTCATCCACAGATTTTCTTCTAAATCCCTCTATATATGTCGATCTGAATAAATATCTATACACACTTTAGCACTCTTTACACACTTTGAACGTTAATATTCAATGTAAAAACACGTGTGAAACAAAGCCTACATAAACGACTACGTGTGTCTTATGCCTGTGACTGCATATGCGTTTCGTTATATCAGTGCTATAATAAAGAATTACAACCTTCATATCGCAAAGTATGTTTTTGCTCACAGAAAAAGACGTAAAAAACAAAGTTAAGCCAATCAAATCTGCAGTTTTATGAGAGAAACTTCAGCACATGATGAGAGAGAGCGCGCGCTTACCTGTTGCTCTGGAGACGCTTGACTGACAGTGAGCGCTCGCGGCGGCGCGCACTCTGATCTCGGTCTTTTGCTGTGGGCGTGGCCAGAGCCTTCCGTCATTAACATGCCAGCCAATCAGAGACCAGACACACAGCCGAGCGTTAAACAACTCGGTCACTTAAGTCGTTTCGTGGATTTTATTTTAACTTTTATGTGAACAATTCATTCATTTATTCATTTATTTTATAAAAATGTGATATACACATGCTGCAATGAAAAGATGAAATTCGTAATAGTATACATGATGATACACAATAACCTTTAACAAGCATGCACTGTCTATAATGTGTTATTATAAGTATGCTAAGTTTTATTATTAATAGAAACAAATTAATAATAAATAGTATAAAACAGTAGACAATATGTATACTTCACAACAGTAACTATCTATTGCGCATAGAGTCGTTTCGTGGATTTTATTTGAACTTTTATTTGAACAATAATTCATTCATTCGTTCGTTCATTCATTCATTCATTCATTCATTCATTCTATTATCGGAATAACATATTTTTTGTTAATCATTATTGCTGGAATTGCTGAAATGACTGGCTATTTGACTTTGATATACTTTGATATGGATGAGGTTGATGATACAAAATAAAAATGATAAAAATGGGGACAAATAAATATAGTAATTCCCCATTTATGAGTATAGTGGAGTTAACTTTACTTGAGATTACTTAACATAATAAAATACTACATTACACACAGTCATGGACATGGGCAGGACGGTATTTATGAAAATGTGTTATACACATGACATGTTGCAACGAAAAGAGAAAATTCATAAAACTATACATTATATAAACATGATGATACACAATAACCTTTAACAAGCATACATGATCATGCATTACATTGTGTTAGTATTACCATTTTGTATGCTAATTGAAACAAATTAATAATAAATAGTATAAAACAGTACACAATATGTATGGGTCACAAAATTATCTATTGCGCATTTAGTGTTACAAATGCAGATTGAATTTTAAACAATTACAATTATCTTTACATTAATGCTACGCTATTGAATTGAAATAAGAGTAACAAATCAATGGTACATTCCATTCGCGCTCCCCCCTCTCTGATTCGTGATGGTATGATCCGGACTGCTTCCGGTTTGCGGCGGCGCTGTTTCCGGTGCTGTGCTGTGTGAGAACTGCAGTGCGCGCGGTTCACCCCGACGACATGTTGTCCCATTCCCGCTGTCTCTCCCGGAGCCTCGGGCGCTCGATCACCGCCCTGCGGCAGGTACGTGTGTCTCTGCCCGTGTGTGTCCCGCGGAAAGACCGACCGGTGATGAGCCGTGAGCGTAACGACCGTTGGTGATGACGACAGCGGTAGGCCGCGCGCAGGCCCAAGGGCAGCAGGACACTCGCGCACAAACTCATATCTTTACATTATATTAATGACACTTACACGAGCTTTTTATGATTTATATGATGCGTTCATCAAACTGTAAATACATGATGTAGATCGATAAGATCATTTGAGAAACGTCTGCTGTCAAAGGCCTCATGTGATCAAGCTGTCACCTCTATAATAACACGACACGCGCAAAACGTGTTAATATTTTTTAATATTTATGTTTGTTGTCATGTGTTATGCTAATGCATTAGTAGTTTTGTGTGTGTGCTGCTGTCAGACGCGTGCGTCAGTCTCTGCTGTTTCAGGGCGTCACTTTCTCATTATCTTCTAAAGTGACTGTATTAAATAAAACGTTATTTTCGTTATTACTAATTATTAGTGATATATGCCGTAATTTGGTCATAAAGATTACTGACTAATACTATAGCTGCATTTAGCACTGCTTCCCACCCAAATTAACAGTAGTCAATCTACTGTGGGTCAGTTTCAAACACACATACATTTATAATTATTTATTGTAGTAACATTTGAGGAAAAATAAGTGTTTAATTTCAGTTTATGCAAACATCTTATTTACAGTAATTAAAATGTACTATGTATCTATATATAAATCAGTGTTTTAAGGTCATGAATCAGAAGTTAAGATGTTCCTCTGGAACAAGAACACATGTGGGCGGGGCTTGATTGTGTCTGTGGGGAATTGACTGGATGGTTGTGGTTTGCTATTGGCTGATCTCATGTGAGTGACAGGTTATAGCCCCGCCCTCGTCATCAGAGAAGAGATACTGCAACTTTTTTTGATTCAAGATTAAAACAATAATGATGTGCACCCATAAATAATTTAGTCTAAACACTGTAATATTCCATACAAAACAAGATTTGTTATTTCAAGGTGACTTTGACAGTGGCAAGATTTACTGAGATGTTATGAGAAAGAGGAAAATCCCCAATATAAGTCCGTAATTTACCAAAACTTTAAACGCATATTGATAACCTTTTTACTTTAGTAGATATGAGTCCTTCCCGGTGACCCTGTGACACGCACAGATCACATGACTCGCACAGATCACATGACTCGCATGTGTGCCTGACTGTCACTCTTCACATGCCGACACATGGATGTTTAACGGCCTGTCAAATGCTCCTGTTTTCCCACTGATTTATTAGATAACGATGTAAGATTAACTATAGAACAATATGACGTTATAGTATTACATTGAATATTACTTTTTCAGATATAAAATGGCAATGCAGTTTTTGCAACTTCACAGGTCCTGTTTTTCTGCACATGATTATTTAATGCAGACATTTGCTTAGTTTTCCATGTGTATTTGATAAGTATGAAATATTAAGGTGTTCATAAGTCACGTGCAGCTTTAAATTAACATATTTTGGTCAAAAATAGTCTTTGATGACAGACGAACACGGTCATCCACACACACACACACACACACTGCAAAGTTCCCGACTCCATGTCTGGTACTGAAAATAAATGCTCAAACCATTTGTAATATTATCAACTTATCCTGTTTATTCATTAAATAAAAAATAAGTCAGAATAGATCATAAAACAAAGTGCTTAGAAGTATATTAAAATCTGAGTGACTAATTGAAAACTTAGTGATAAAATGAACAGTAAAGGTTATTTTGCATTCACACTCATTTACACAGATAATTTGACATCCAGTATCAGATTGTTTGTTCCATCCATTGCTATTGTTTACACTGTTAATCGGATTCAATTGCGCATTTAAATAGTCGTCAATCTAGAAACTTTGCAGCGTAAGTGTAGTTAGCGTAGTTATGTTATATATATATATATATAGCTGTCAATCACAACGCGAGGTACACAAAGCTGCGGAAAGTCCTGTTATATCAACGAAGCTGTGCACTGAATCTCTTATTGACATCGTGTTGGTTATAATGAAAGGATTCGCGCTGAACAAAAACTGCCGTGTTTAGCGGATTCTGAACTTAAACGCTTCTGATTGGCCGTTGGGTTCATGCGCTCAACAGATATGTCTGTGATTGGCTATAAAAGCTCAAAGACGGTGTAAATAGAAACCGTTGATGCTCTTCAGAGAGCGCTTGCACACAAACACTCACTCAGATGGCGATTAGTGGGTACCGGCGCTGTATCAATTATCTAATAAATCTTTGGCAGGAGGACTAAGGTGGATTTTGACATCCGCCAAAATATTTTCAATGTAAGAAAAACCCATGCTCAAGAAGACTGAAGTTCAGTTATGACAGGCGAACCCGATGTTAAAGTCCCCCTGTGGTGAAAATCCAGCTTTTAATGTTGTTTATGTGTATATGTGGTGTTTTTAATATGCTTTAAGACACACCATGTGTAAGTTCATAAGTCGACAGCATTGCTGAGTATTTTCTGCTTAAAACTGCAGTGAACCAAAGACAGTCTCAAAAACACGGTTTGAAATCGCTGGTGTTTCTGACGTCACAAACGACCTTGTAACCAATCAGATCAACGTGTGATCGTCAACCAGTGGATCTCTGAGCTGAGGGAGTGAGTGGAGGCGGGGCTCATTTGCATATTCATAGAACCGCGTGTACTAAATGAGGCAAGGGTGTCGAGTTACGGTCAAGATATTTTAAGGCATGAAGGAAAAACATTTAAATATGTAATTTTGATGATCAAAGATGAGATAAAACTATTGACTACAGGGGGACTTTAAGTTGTTTGTCAAAGTCTGGCTAGATGAGATTATCTTGTTTGTTGAACATTGCTCTTTGATCGGTACAGTGAGGACTGACTCAGTCCAGTGCTGTTAGCGCTCGCTGATGGACTTGTTTCATTTTGTTCTTCCAGGGAAACGGTGTTCTTGCTAGACGGGCTACTTCAGGTGAGTCCTGCTGATGTTTCCTCTGTTTTGCATGACATGTGGAGTTTTCTTAAAGGAACACTCCGACTTTTTGGGACTTTAGAGAGATGAAAAAGGTATGTATGGACTTATCTAACTCCGGGGGATACGGTGAATAAGCTAAAGTCCCAAAAAGTCGGCGTGTTCCTTTTAAGGTTTTAACACTCTTGTATCTTTCTTGTTCTGCAAACAAACATGATTAGATGTTCCTGTGTCTCCTTTTTCCTCCAGGTATATCATCAGCTAGTCAGTGCGTCTCCTTCAAGAACAGCCCGTAAGTATCACTGCAGTCCGACTTTTCACTGATCCCAGAGGGTTTGTTTGGAAAGGCAGATCCTCGGTGACGGTGTGACACACAGATGCCAAATAAAAGATCTCACTGGATTGTGCTGTTGATTTCTAGGAGGAGTGAGACCCGGTCAAGCGTCTATCAGATCAGATACTTCAACACCACAGCCGCTCACAGTACGTATCAGCTCATGCTCTGGGTCTGGAAACTGAGGGTAAAGCTGCTAAAGTGTTGCACGGCATCATTAGCTGTGTTTCATCCACATATTTTTATGCCCATTTTTGGGAATGCCCGAGATATGCATAAACGCACAAACAAAAGATGCACGAAATCAAGGCGGATAATTTATCCTTTATAACTATAATGGAAACACATTTACGTAAAAAATCCCTCGATGCACAACAATAAAGTCACGTGACTTTGACCTGAGACTGTGATTGGATAACTGGAGTAGCCAGTGGACCAATGGCATCGCAGCGTCTGGTGTTTCTGAAACGCCGGAGTCGAAGTGTGTGAATAGGATTTGGTTTAATTCCCTCCAAAGGTTTGGGGAAAATACATGCATGCAAAACGTTTTCGAACAGTCATGGAAATTTGTAAATTTCACAAATATCTGTATATTGGAAAAAATATTTTTGACACATTTATGTAACCATCTTACTGGCGTGTCGGCGTTATTTAGATGCATGTTTATTTTGTATTAAATCGCGTAGCTTATTAATTTTAGTTAAGTTGTGCTGTGGTCAATTTGAACATGTATTTTTACTCTTATTTTAGAGTTATGACGTTTCATGGAATGGTTGGTCATGAATATTTGCCTCAAAAGTCATGGAAATGTATTGGTAAACGTGTGTGAATCCCAAATTATACATTTAAGTAATTAATTATATTAATTAATTTAGGAATAAGGTTTGGTTTAGGGTCAGATGTATGTGATTATGCATAATTTACTGTTACTATAGTAACAAGGACACTGTACAATAGCGTGACCCTGAGCTCCTCATACGTGGTTTTCACTGTTAATTACTATTGCTGAAATAACTAAGTTAAAGGTGACCTATAATTCAAAATTGAATTTACCTTGGTATAGTCAAATAACAAGAGTTCAGTGCATGGACATGACATAGAGTGAATCTCAAACTGGACTGTTTTGGCGTTCTCATTTAATTCACGTTTATGAAAAACACCCCTGAAAAACGGTCGGTTCTCCACACAATACCGACTGTGACGCAATAGTCGGGATCACTAATATGTACGTCTCCAAATATTTGCATAATGCCAGCCCTCAATGCCAGGCGGAACTGCGCAGCCGAAGCATGGCAGTTGCTCAGTGTGGATGTACACATGAACACAAAAGTATTTTTTAGTTCCTTCATCTGAGCCTCTGAAGAAACAATGGGTTAATTTTATTTTCTCTGGAAATTTCCAAACATTTCACCGACTGTTTCCTCAACTTGGGCCAATACAGAGCTGGCCTCGGATCGAGCTACCAAGCAACACTTTCTGATGTGTAATTGTTCAAGTTCAGACAGGTAATCTTTCTCTCAAAATCGTTCAATACTGTTTATGCATCAGTAAGTCAAGCCAGTGACTAAAATATCAGCTTCACATCGTTTCTTTTAGTAGGATGAAAATAATCGTATTTAAATTGTGAACAAATTATATACAGAAAGCGATCAAAGAACAATCTTTCCACACAGCGCGAGTTTATCTGGACACTTGCCAGACTCGTTATGAAATCAATGACGCACGTTACTGCACAACGAAGCTCTTACTGTATTTACATCATCGTGTTTGCATTGGTGAAAGCAGAGAGAGTGCAGAAACTGCTTTGCAATGATAAGATCTTCATTCTCGCGATCAACACACCGTCATCTGCTCAATGCTCATCACGGCAACATTTTATGTGATGGGAATAGATCTAAATACTTTAAAAACATCTCACGATTCGTTAATCTCGATAGCTGTTATAGTAAAAACGTATAATAGCAGTAGTAAAAGTATTCGGGAGAGAGTTTCACATGTAATGCGTAGCTATTTCATATGCAAGCATGTCAGCCAATCACAGCAGTGGCCGCGGTTACACTGAATCCCACAGCAGACACGCCCCTTCAAACAGAGTGTTCAAATCAGAGGCTCAAAGCAGGCTAGGAAAAATGCCATTTATTTCTAAATTATGATTATTTTTTATCTAAAAAACATACTAACATTATAAGGGTAACCCAGGAAACATTATAAAATAATAAAAAAAAACATTCTAGGGCACCTTTAAAAAAAAATAACAACGAGATAACGAAATAAATAACGAGTCTGGAGGTTATTTCAAGGTCAGTTTTAGATTCAGATTTTTTAAAATAGACTACAAAATTTATTAATTGAACAATAATAACATTTATTGCATTTCAAAAACTTTAAAATACTGTAAAAATACAGTCTATTTAATTAATTAATATGAATTAATACTTTTAAAAACGGTTCAATGCATAAATGATTCAATGACTCACTCATAAATACTTGTTTCATTTTGAAAAAATCTCTTGGATGAATTATTAAATGACAAATACGTTGTTTAACAGCCACTTGTCGGTGCAACGGTGAAATCAATATCATCATTTGAAGCATCAAGTTACTTTCAAATGATGATTGACTCCATTTTGATTGCTTCCATACACATCAGTGTCAATATCTGGCCTGTAGACTTGAATTGTAAGACAGAAATAATGATACTGTGTGACATCAGCAGCGCAAACGCAGATTTAAATGTTGGTGTTTGAATCGAGATGGCAATCTTTTAATGATTAATCGTGCAGCTCTAGTCTGACTTTTGTTTTGTGAAATGACTGAATGAAATGACAGATTCACTCTCTGACAGTAGATGGCGCTTATAGAACAGCAATAAAGCGTGTCCTAGTTTACACAGTCTTATAACACTGCTGTAAACAGCTGAAGAGGACAAGAAAAGGTCATTTTCTGAAGGCGGATCCCTTCACAAGCCGCGTTTCCATTACAGATTTGCGCAAAACTTTAACGATATTTTCTAAATGTCGATAAAGAACGATTGCGAAACGACGACGTTTCCATTAACCGATGTTATGCGATAGGAGCGTATTTTTCCCCTCTCGCGTTAAGTCGTTTCAGACATCATGGCAACAGATGTTGGTAGGTGTGTGTATATCCCAGCCGCCGCACTAGACATGTTTAATGGAAGGAGGCGGAGACGTGTATTCAAGCATTAAGGCCCTTTCACACCGGACGCGTAACGGAAAAGCGAAACGGAAAAGCGAATAGTTCGCGTCAAAACCATTCACATCAGCCGCGACGCGAATTTGCGACGTTCAGAGCTTCAACATTCCAAAACTTTCGCGCCGACAGCTGAGAAAACACACTTCATCATCATCATCATCATCCAGTGAAGACGAGCTTTTCGTTTTCTTTAAGACAGAAACGAAGGTTTTGTGTGCACCCAATCTTAAAGAACAGAGAGCCTGAAGGGGAGTGTGCTAATCTTGTAAAGTAGCTAAAACTTTGCCACAAAGAACCGGCCAAAGTAAGGATTAAGCATTAAACATTTGAATTGTTTATTAATAAAGTGTTTTCTGTCAGTTTTCGGTATGAGACGCGCTCCAGTTCACGCGCCGGCGCCTCCGTGTCCTAATTATATTGTCTACTATATTTGCTTCTTATTCCTATTAATCCAGGCAATTTGTTGATGAAACATTGATTAAAATTAAGATACAATTTATACAAAACGAAATTCACTTTAAAGAAAGGCTTTCTACAAAACAAAACTTAATAAGTGGCCAAAATTATGTCTGACCCATTCCAAATGCTTTCGATATATATCTTAACTGGTCCCTATAAGCAAACAACGTCATGTTATGAATGATAGGGTATGCGTGCGTTGAGATGTGGAATAGGCAATATAAAAATGCTGTCATTATAAAAGGTTTCTAGTTTTAACGTATTGCTTGTTTTTAGTTTACATTTCATGTTGTGACTCTTCTCTTCTCTCGCACATAATGCTGCCACGTCAGAGCGGCCAAAGCGTCAACAAGCTTCGGCTTTGTTTCCTTGTATGTGATTGGCTGAAGCCTTTTCTGTCGCCGCAAAAGTAAAAAAAAAATCGACATCGAAGCGAAAAAAATAAAAGCGTTTTTTCGCCGCAGCACATTCGCGTTCGGTGTGGAAGCACTCATCACACAAACAGCTGATCAAAAAATAAAACTATCGCGCAAATTATTCGTGCGTCAAAATCGCGTCCAGTGTGAAAGGACCTTTAACGGCAAGGAAAGAGCCGTATGCTCTATGAGTGTTTCTGGGTGTTTCTCCCTCATATCTGCTTTAAGGTCTTTTGATAAATTGTGGCATTTCCTAGTGGTTTAGAGTCCAAGCAGTTTGTGTGCAAGTAGTTTTTAAATAAAATTGATTCATCACCCGTGCTTTAAATATAAAATGTATTTTTACATTTATACATCCATTTTTATAAATGTATATTTATACAAATGGAAGCAGCCTTTCAACTTCTTATCAGCCGTAGGATGGGGTCTCAAATATTTTTGAGATATTTCTCATTATTGCACATCTCCGTAATACTTGATTCTAATTCGTTAATCTCAGCATTCAGGGACATTTATTATTTTCTCATTTGTCTTGGCTGAAAGCTGCTTGTTTTCTCGCAAAAACTGAGCTAATAAAAGATTTAACGTTAATTAACTCAAATCAATATTTTGTGTAAAGTAATAAGCGGGATAATATACAGGCACAGCGTTGCCATGGATGCTGATAAATATTTCAAATGTGAGGAATCATGTTGCGTATATGAAGCTAGAATACAAATCACAACACCTGGAAAAACCTGAAATGTTCTGAGTTGCACTTTAATTCATTTGGTGATGTTTATGGAGTTATTAGCGCTATTAATTATTTACCTTACATGTAATAAACTCTGCTCAGTGCTAATGCAGACGTACTTACAGCGTTTCTTATGATTGTGTTGCTGAAGTGTTTGTGTCCACTGCACTGTAATCCTCTGAGGTGTAAGGGCATTTTTTCACTTCGATTTTACATATCTTATTAAATTCACCTTTTAAAGGCAATTACATAGCATAATCCCATGTGTTTTATATCAAAATGTGCAGTGGAAAACCAGCTCTCTTACTGATGGGCTGACCATTTGTCCTAGAGAGAGGGATAATTTGGCTCTAAAAGGTTTTTTGAAATTCTTACCAACATACCATTACTCATGTGGATGAATTATTTTGGTCCTTGAAATGGGTTTCCCAAAGTCTTAGGGTCACAAAAGTAGTGTAATATATTAGGGCTGACTTCTAATAGTCGAGGATTCGACGATTCGATTCGGAGAGGTCTGATTCGACTATGAACCTCATAGTCGAATAGTAGGCAAGTCTTATGAGGGGTGTGACGTTATTATATAACCGTGAGACCGACGGTTATAGTTGAACACCATCAATAGAACTCTATAACCGCCAAAACCGTGCTATTAAAATATTTTTTACAAACATTTTTTATCATAGAGAATGTTTAAATACTAATATCATCTTACGAGGGAAACGGAGGTGGAGTTAGTGGTGCGATCGGAGGCTGCTACTGCTGGAGATGATTCGGGAGAGGTCTGTGCACCTTTACCGATAAGAGCGCGCGCTGACACGGAGTAAAGCCAAACATTCTCTGGTAAAGCCTTGTTTATGCTCCACGCGTCCGCACGAGCGCGAAGGTGCGGATGGCAAAAAAATGACGCGTTGGGTGCGCAAGACCGGCAAGACCCCATTTCGCTTGGCTGTGTGCACAGCTTTTTTTGTAACAGCGCGCGCGACGCCGCATCCGAGGATGAACGACTTCAAGCCGAATCAGCATGTAGGCTACGTCTCACCGCACCGGCACGCAGTTTGCGCGTCTAAATTGCAAAGTTCATTGCAAAGTTTTTTTGTTAAGGTTTTGTTTACTGTGTGTGATTTATTTAAAACAAAGCACGTTCATTGCAACGTTTTTTGTGTGTTAAGGATTCATTTAATGGAAAGCACATTCACTTGTCTTGCTGTTCATTTTAAATAAACGTAGAGCGAGTTGTCCTATAACAGACGAACAGTTATTCAACCGAACGTCTAGCTGCTATCAAAAAAAAAAAAAAAAAAAGGTTCGACTATCAGTCGACTACGGCAAAATCTAACGAATCAGATTCGACTATGAAAATCCTTAGTCGAAAACAGCCCTATAATATATGAATAAAATAGTAGATAATGAATAATAATTGTCTAAAGTGACTCGTTTTTTAGTGTAAGTTTGGTCTGTGACTCTACCTTCACCAAATATTAGATAAAATAGGACTAAAATCACTTCCTACTACATATCAAGCTTTATGGGATGTGTGCAAATGAAAAAGTTGCACTACAACAGGTCTTTCTTTCAAGCAAAACATGTACTTTGTGAAAAAAAACTTTTTTTTGCCATGTTTTTCTTTCGAAGACTTTTTTACTCTTTCTCTATCCATGTCAGCTTGGTATTTTCCTCACTGTGAGGAGATGGGAGAGGGTACTTAGGGATTTCAACCCCATCTATTGGTCGGTTTCACACAAAATGCAGACAGGAAAGCTAGCCCACCCATCACGCAAGGTGAACGGCCATCTTGTCTTCCCTCTTGCTCTCTGTCAGTGTGTGAGTCACGTACGATCTCGTGAGAATAAGGACGTTGAAGCTGAGAATCTATCGATTACGGCAAAATCAGACCCATTTATGTGTGTTGCACAATCGCGGAGATATTAAAGGATAATTCCGGTATTTAACACTTTGAGTCTATTTTGTAGTTTGTTTTGGATGATCTAGAGTGGTGGACTTAGAAATGTTGACGATGGGTCCTGTCTCGACTTTTTGACTATTTTAGAATCGCCTCTGAGCGCTTCAGAGTGGCTGTCTATGGGCATGCTCAAACATGTCCTTAAAACAACCCTTAACGTTCGTTTTCAAAACTGTGCAACTCACCGAGTGGTTAGTGGTGTTCGTTGATGATTAAAAACAAATATAGCGGCGCAATGTATGCTTTCAATCCGTGTTATTTGCTATACTGGAACTATTTTTTCAGATACCTCACAACCGCGTATAAACTTCCGCTCGATATTTGAGTCTGAAGCGTTAGCACACCCCCGACCACTTGATGGCGACAACCACTTTGCCGCAGCTGCTCAGCTCACGCTAGCCTTCTGAGAGACGGAGAACCGAGCGAAAAGACTACAACCAAATGTAAACAGACCCCTTTCCGTTTCCGGTAGCGCAGTAATATCAACGAGCACTGAGTCCTCCAGCAGACATCAATTCGATTTAAAAAAATGGCAAATAAAACTCGACAGAAACTGTATTTCGCTACGCTACTTGTTTTGGAACATCAACGAACACCACTAACCACTCGGTGAGTTGCACAGTTTTGAAAACCAACGTTAAGGGTTGTTTTAAGGACATGTTTGAGCATGCCCATAGACATCCACTCTGAAGCGCTCAGAGGCGATTCTAAAATATTAAAAAAGTCGAGACAGGACCCATCGTCAACATTTCTAAGTCCACCACTCTAGTTCATCCAAAACAAACTAGAAAATAGACTCAAAGTGTTAAATACCGGAATTATCCTTTAATAGAAACATTTAGTGAACATTGAGGTGTCGCGCCGCCGCGTCATCCGACCTCAGGGGGTTAATCCAATTGACTCAATTTCACTTTGTTTGTTTTAAATTTGAGGCAAGCTTTTCTTTCTGTGCAATCACGTCTTCAGAGGTGTGAACCGAATGGAAAGATCTCTATTGGTTAACACATTTCTACGGTTGCACACCACATTAAATGTCTCGTGTGATTGCAGGGAATGAAGTTATCACGGTAAAAACCCCAGCGTTTGCGGAGTCTGTCACAGAGGGAGACGTCAGGTGGGAGAAAGGTAAGATGTGTGTAAGATCAGGTGTGTGTTACACACGGTTGGACCTCGCTCACCCTGTGTGTGTCTCCTTTAGCTGTCGGAGACTCGGTCTCTGAGGATGAAGTCGTCTGTGAGATTGAGACTGATAAGGTAAGGAGCTCTTGCTCTTGTTTTGTCTGTTTTAGGGGATTTTAGGGATAAGTTTTTAGTGTGATTTTGAAACTTCATGGGTTGCAACTAAGAACCGTTCTAATAATGGATATCATATTTGTCACGCCAGTGCACTCAAACTATGTGCACAATGAAAGTCTGTATGGTACAAAATTATTAAAATCATTATACAAGAAAATAATACAAGCTGATCAAAAAAAGCTCTCAGTCTGAATTCAGCAGAAGAGTTGCAAACCACAGACCAAGAAGTGGTTTTGCAGGAACACGTTTACTGCTGTGAACTCAGTCAGTACTCCTGCAGTTATAGTGCAGAAACAATCATCACTTTCATATGTCAATTTTCAATTATGGTCAGTTTTAAGTCTAGATTTGATGTTAAACATTAAATGTTTTGATTAAAATGTTTACGCTCCTTTTCTTCTGATTGAGGTTCTGACCGTTTGTTAGTATTTTTTAAAGGGGTCCTATAATGCCCTTTTCACAAGATGTAAAATAAGTCTCTGATGTCCCCAGAGTGTGTGTGTGAAGTTTTAGCTCGAAATACCCCACAGATATTGTTATATAGCATGTTAAAATTGTCACTTTTTGAGGGTGAGCAAAAACACACCGTTTTTGTGTGTGTGTCCCTTTAAATGCAAATGAGCTGCTGCTCCCAGCACAGAGGGCGGAGCTACAAGAGCTTGTGTCCATTTATCACACACACACACACACATGCACTGAACATTTCAAAAGTTCATGTAGTTCCTACCAGCCGTTTGTTGTAGTCCTTATGAAGCAATTTCTTTAAAATAAAATATCTCCCTTTGCTTTGAACTGTGAGCGTCGTAACTTTGCAGATGTTGTTTATGCTCAAACAGCAACATTACACACTAACTAAAGCTAGAAAAGTGAAATCATAATCAACCACCCCTTTAATAAGTTGTAGGGCTAGATAAATCCTTAACCTATGTGCAAACCTAACTGGCATAATGTAGCATGTTCATAATATTCTGCGTTTGTTCCCATTATACATGTAGTGTACATTATGTCAAGTCAGCTTAATTTCTACAGCGCTTGTATTCAAAGCAGCTTTACATGGATAAACAGGGAAAAAGTGATCAACGATGCTGACAGAATCAGTGTTAAGAATCATTTTTGTCCACAACATTTTTTCACTGATGGAAACAAGACGATATCTAAATAAAAACCAGTTATCCATTACAAAAACTTTGACAAAAATCTGTTGACTTTTTTTGTCGGTGAATAAAAACGAGGCTAAAATCTTAAATCTGAGAGCTGGATCACTCCTCCATAGGCTTCTAAGGGATCGAAACTGGCCGGCCCAGAAAAGTTAAAGACATCGTTAAAATAGTCCAATGTTGATTCAGTTTCATCAATGAAACGAGTTGAGTTCAGCTCTACAGAAGACAGTAGTGTGGTGGGTGAGCGTGTGTGAGGGCCTGAAGTGTGTGTGCCTGAAGTGTGTGTTGTGCCGCTGCAGACGTCGGTGCAGGTTCCCTCTCCAGCTGCCGGAGTCATCGAGGAGCTGCTGGTTCCCGACGGAGGGAAAGTGGAAGGAGGAACGCCTCTCTTCAGACTCAAGAAAGGAGGTCAGACACAAAACATAATAATAGTCGTATATTAAAGGAATGTTCTGGACTAAATACATCTCATATTTTATCCTTTTATTGTACTCCGTTAAATCACGGGCTATAATCATTGCCTGACATGTTCGTCGTGTTATGATGTTAACGATCCACATAACTTTATGTATATTACTGCCAAATGGACATTACTTTGACTCTTCCGTCTCTGATTTTAACATTGAAGCATTTTCTGTGATGCTGTTTTGAGATAATATATTGTTTAGAAGTAAAGTTGTATTCAAGTAAACTAACTTTTGACATCTTTATTAGGGCAAAGTATATATGTATACCCACATTAAAAATTTCCATCTTCATTAACCACAGCTATAAATAAAGTATCGGGTCATCGTGTCCTAGGAAGTGGTTATGATTGTAAGAGAGTGCTGTTCTGCGTCAGTGGTGTGAGCTGTGAGTGTGCCATGTTTCAGCTGTAGCTGCTAAGACGACGGCGGCGGCGGCTCCTCCTCCTCCAGCAGAGACGCCTGCGCCTGCGCCTGCTCCTCCGGGTCCGGGTCCTGCGGGCCCCATGCCCTCCAGCATGCCCCCCGTGCCCCCTGTGCCGGCCCAGCCCATCCAGGCCACGCCAGGTTAGCTTTACCCTGCTGACATAATCAAACCTCATCGGTGATTTCAAACGTCATTTCTTTTGCTATGTGGTGCTTATAGAGCCCTATGAAATCTGTTTTATTTTTTTCCCCAAATTCTATTTTATTTTTTCCCATGTTCCATTTTATTTTTCCCCAAATCTCTTTGTATTTTCTTTTTTTTAATTCTTTTTTTTTTACCAAATTCAGTTTTTTTCTGTTTTAAGTTTTCTGGATTAAATCTTAATGGTTTGATTAAATTGCCCTATGAAACCTGTTTTTCCCAAAATACATTTTATTTTGTTCCCAAATTCCATTTTATTTTTTTACTAAATAATTTTTTTTAGGTTTTCTGGATTCAATTTCAATGGTTTAATTAAATTGTAATATTCAAAAAGCTTGCTAATTAATTGAATTCATAAAAACAACAGTTTATTTTATAATTTTTTATGAAATGACGTCGTCGTCTTTTTTTTTTCTTCAGAAATTCCATGTTGTCTATTTAAAATGTTCCGGTTATCAAATGAAGGAATGAAACAATTTAATTTATCTTTTAATCATATGAAATTTAACTTTTTTTTTTTTTTTTTTTAAACAAAGTGCTGCACAACAGAGCTTTACTGTTCAAATTAAAACATGGAAGAAAATGTTATTATTCCTTAAAAAATAGTTTTAATTTATTATTATTATTAATGCTAGTATTATTATTACATTGAGATGTAGCTAAATGCTACTGTACAACAGTAATAATACATTTCTGTCACAATTTCTTCAAGTTAAACTGAACTTATTTTGCAGTGAAGAACTTTGAGTTTCTGTGTGTTATAATGTAATGATAGTTTTTCTCAAATGAAGCAGTAAAATGCTGATAAAGTTACTCTCAGAGCGGCTCTGGAGATGAAGTTCATGTAGAGGCTGAATACACTGCGGGCGGGTGTGTGTGTGTGACACGCAGAACATGCAGGATTCATTTTGAAATAGTCTTTTTCCGGTTTAATATTCACAGACACTAGTCTATATCGCGATTTGATTTAAGTGTACTGCCCTGCTTTTTATTTATTCATCAAAAAGTTTACAAATTTTGTGAAATTATACATTATCCGTATTTATGACTGGATTCCGCAGTTCCGTCCACATTTTCCGCATTGCAGAAATCATAGGGCCCTATTATTGTGATGTTAACTTCGGTTGGTAAATCTAGCACTAATACCCTGTGGGTCCTTTAAGTCTTAAATTAAGTTTTATCAAATTTAAGGCCATAAAAAGTCTTAAAATCTATAAGAAAAGTCTTAATTATTTCAAGAGGTGCTTTATTTCACAGATGCTTAACACACAGGGTTTACCAGGGTAACCGCTATATTCCTGTTGTTAGGGTTTGGAACTGTGAAGTTGTTTAAATTATCGTTTTATGGTTTAGGATGTTACAATAGATATTGCTCTACACTCACCCATCCATTTTGTATAAATTTTTTTATTCTGCAGGTCTTAAAAAGCCTTAAATTTGATATCCAGCTTTTGTTACTGAACATTGCAGGACTGAACGGCCCTAAATCTCTCTTCTGTTGTGTCTGTCGACAGTTTCAGCCATTAAGCCCACTGCTGCTGCTGCTCCTGCAGATACTGGGGCCAAAGCCACCCGATCAGAGCACAGGGTAAGACACCCGTTAGCACGGATAACCTGCCGTCTGCAGGAACACAGTGCAGCTCATACACAGCTCAAGTTTTGCATACTGCTATAGACTGTTTTAATAGCCCAGTTTGACGGCCCTTGCTGCGTGCGACCCTAAAGTGCTCATTCTGTTAGGATCTTTATTGGGTGATATTTAGGGATGCACGATATATCGGCCACCATATCGGTATCGGACGATATATGTCCATTTTTTTATGTTATCGTTATCTTCCCCATAAGACATTTTGGCTGATATATTAAAGCCGATAAATAATGTATTATATCCTTCAGCTGAGACGCTTCAGAGGCGCACTGTTCAACATGATGGTTTTGAATTGCTTGAAATATGATTGGAATCACTTAAAAAAAAAAAGAAAATACAGTAAAGTACAACATGTGCAGCGCAAGTCTGTCATATCGGCTTCGTAAAATTATATTGAGAACATCATAATTGTGTGTTTGGGACGTGGCTTTTAATGGTGAGACTTTTTTTTTGTAATCAGGCTCTCAAAAATAATATAAAATGTGGATTTAGATTTTTCGGCCGATATATCGGTTATCGGCTTTCAAATATAACGAATTATCGTATCGGACAAGATTTTCATATCCGTGCATCCCTAGTAATATTGGACCAATTACATCAAAGAAGACTGACTAATTTAGGGCTAATTAGACTGTGCCACAACATTTGATTACTTCAGTCACCTGTGCAGTTGTTGTATATTAGCATGATCATGTTAGACCACAAAATGTCAACGCCTTCAGTTTCACCTGTGACTGTGATGTGGCTCAAATTATCTTATCAAATTATCTCGACACTCTTCATCTCTGATGATATTCAGAAAGTTTATATTTGATCTGAAATCACTTAAAAGTAGGGATGCACCGATATGAAAATTTTGGCCCATACCAATCATTCTTTATATTTGAAAGCCAATAACCGATATATCGGCCGATAAATCTAAATACACATTTTTGTTTAAATAATTTTTGAGAGCCTGATTACAAAAACGAAAGTCTCACCATTAAAATCCATGTCCCAAACACACAATTATAATAATGTTATCATTATAATTGTATGTAGCCGATATGACAGACTTGCGCTGCACATGTTGCACTGAACATTATTTTCCTTTTTCAAAGTGATTTCAATCATATTTCAAGCAATTCAAAAGCATCATGTTGAACAGTGCGCCTCTGAAGCGTCTCAGCTGAAGAAAATAATCATTATTTATCGGCTTTAATATATCGGCCTAATTGTCTTATTGGGCTGGTGACGATAACATTAAAAATGAACATATATCGGCCGATACCGATATGGTGGCCGATATATCGTGCATCCCAACTTAAAAGGGTGAATTTTTTATTATTTTATTTTTTGTTATTATTATATATAAATCATCTCCCAAATCAGTAGATCATGTTGAGCTGTTGCCATTTGATTGATAATGTTTAATGCAAGATAATGAAATATGACCAATGCGTCTTATACACCAAATAAAATGCACTATTTACATGTGCAACATGTTAAATGCCATTGGGAGATTTCTGTTAACATTTTGAGTCATGCAAAATTGTTGAAACGATTAATTGAAACAGACAGTTTACAAGAAATAATTCCCAATTCAACTCGATCATCCTTTTTTTTCACTGTGGTTTTAATCCGTTTCTGTTATAATAACTCTGTCTTTGCTCTTAAAAAATTCTATAGCCAAATTAAAATCATTGTTATATTTACATATGAATGTTATATCACAGATGAAACAACTGAAAGTAGCATAAATTCTGTGTGTAAATGCTTGGCTGTGCTGTGGTTTTGTTGCAGGTGAAGATGAACCGCATGAGACTGCGAATCGCTCAGCGGCTGAAGGAAGCGCAGAGCACCTGTGCCATGTTGACAACCTTCAATGAAGTGGATATGAGGTTGGTTCCTGTAACATCAGACTACGACTCGAGATTAAAGGGTCATTGGTTCTTTTAAATGTGTTTTTAATGCCCCACCAGTCAAAAGTTTGTGCACACCTACTCGTCAGGGGATAACAGCACTTATATTTGAGCTGCTTCTTTGACTAGATGTCTGCTCCAGCTCAATGCATTTAAACAAACAAAAACATGTACAGGTATGTTTGTTAGAGATGCACGATATATATCGGCCACCATATCGGTATCGGGCGATATATGGGCATTTTTATCGTTATCGGCCCGATAAGACAATTAGGCCGATATATTAAAGCCGATAAATAATGTGTTATTTCCTTCAGCTGAGACACTTCAGATGCGCTCTGTTCAACATGATGCTTTTGAATTGCTTGAAATATGATTGAAATCACTTCGAAAAAGGAAAACACAGTAAAGTGCAACATGTGCAGCGCAAGTCTGTCATATCGGCTACATAAAATTATAATGAGAACATCAATATAACTGTTTGGGACGTGGATTTAAATGGTGAGACTTTTGTTTTTGTAATCAGGCTCTCAAAAATTGTATTCAGATTTATCGGCCGATATATCGGTTATCGGCTATATCAGATATAATATATATTCAAATATAACGAATTATCGGTATCGGCCAAAATGTTAATTTCAGAGCATCCCTAATGTTTTTGTATCGAAGAGTCTTAAATTAATCTCTGTCTATATTTGTTCTTTATGCTTGTAAGTGTTAGATCCCCACTTGTACTAAAGTCTTTCAAACACTTTCTTAGAAAAACTAAAATCTGGAAGTTTATTGTACTGAAATATGTCACTAGCATTATAATTTTATATTTGTGTACAGAACTGATTTCAAGCGTTCGGGCAAGTGTGTCCAGACACTGACACATAGGAAATCTGTCGATGGCCTGTGAAAATGTTGCTTATTGCCCAAACCTGATTAGAAGCTCCGCAATGCCCGTCCAAATGGTTATAGATTGGAATCTGGCCTACAGGAAGAGATTTCTGAAACCCAATCGCCACTTAAAGCGCGGAATGTAAATATTTGGTCCTAATGTTGGTCAAAACAAAGATAAGAAGGGTAAAATGGGCTTTATTAATTTACAAGGAAACGTTAATGTCCACAGCCTCCCTCGCTCGCCCCTGAAGATGACACTTTGAGGATTTCTCCCCAGCGCAAATGGCCGTATTGCCTTTCAGCTGCTCGGGGTTCGTGTTCGTGCGCTAATCTCGTTGGCATTGATGGGATGGAGGAAGACTGTGCCGGTCTGGAGTCGAAGGAGCGCGCTAGTCTGCGGCCTGCTAGCATCTGCGCGGGACGTCCCCTGGGACGGGCCTTCGGAGGGAGCGTGCGAGGCAACCCGGACCGTTATGGGCTATTATGACAAGCCAATAAGATTTGAAGGCTTTGGAAAGTGAAGATTTTTATCGCGTCTTCTCTCCTTTCTCTGAGAGCGCGTGTCTTGGGACGGTCCTAATTCCGTTAGCGGAGAAACCGGAGAGGCTAAACGGCGTTAGAGACAGGAAAATGGAGAATTACCGTCTCGGCGCTTTTCACTCAAAACCTGGGCAGACTGTCGTCCACAACATCCTTGATTGGGGTTTTAGGAGGGAAAGTTAACCTGAAACGGCACTGGCCTCGCAGACAGAGGTTTCTGACTGTTGTGGATCATCGCTGAAGAGTTATTAGTGGGGTTATTTGTGTCCGATTGGATTGTGCTTTTATGTTTCAAGGAATTTTAAATCAAAATTAGGGATGCTCGTTTCTGTGGTGTGTGCATGTCGTCGTGGCGACCGTTTAACGATAATCAAAATGTACTTAAATTACATGGCATCGTTTTTCATTTTTTGGATATTCCAATCATATTCAGTAATGTCGGCATTGCCTTTTTAGCTGTTGATTAAAAATGAGGAGGAAAATATCACATGGATTAGATTATTAAAATATATAATCAGTGTTTTTGTAAATGTAAATATTTCAATTATGATTTTAATACATTATTGCCGTTTGGTATGCATGAGCTGAAGCTGAATGAACACGGGTACACTGAAGTGAATACGAGATGAGATTTATCAATCAAAAATCACAGCCAATCAGAAGGGAGTGTGGGCGGAGTCTCTGCTAGCGCACTGCATTAAATCAGCCAATCAGAAGAGTGTGGGCGGAGTCTCTGCCAACGCACTGCATTTGCAGATAAATCAATCAAAGATCACAGCCAATCAGAAGAGCCCATTTGTCATAGAATACACTTGTTTGTTCACAGTTAAACGTTCAGGTGAATTTGATCATTGTATCTTCCAGTACGGCTATAAAGCTCACACAGAAAATTATTATTCAAACTCGCATTAAATTCTTAAAACATTAAATAAAGCACATAATCAGTGGCTGCGATGTCACAGAAAGAGAAACCATTTCTAAAATAAAATCGTTGTGTATCGCCATCGCGGCTGCTTAGTACAGAAACTCTCATTAACATGGAAAAGATGCTTTTGATCACGTGTCGCGTTTAGTTAAACTACGGTGTAATTTACAACATGTATCTATCTACACAAAATTACACTAATTAGCATGTGCTCTTATTTATTTTCCTCATTATCAAAGTGCTGATCTTAACTAACTAATCAGACCTCAAGGTACTGTCCAAAATGCCGCCATAACCAGAAAAGCAAATTAAAAATAATTAATTGGATGGTAAAGAGCAGCGTGAACATTCTGCTAAACATCTGCTTCAGGGTTTCATGGTTGAAACTCATGCCGGTTTGGGCTGACACAAGGTTGAGTAACGGTTCCTTGTTAAGTGTCTTACGTGTTTCTTTATTCCTCCATGACAGCAACATTACAGAGATGAGGAAACTATATAAAGATGCTTTCCTGAAGAAACACAGTATCAAACTGGGCTTCATGTCTGCGTTTGTGAAAGCTGCTGCTTACGCTTTGACAGACCAGCCTGCCGTCAACGCTGGTATGTGTCTCCACACACACACACACACACACACACACACACTTCAGATTAAGCCACTGTGTGGTTATGTGGTTGTCTGTTCGCGTCTAAAGAACATGTTTTACAGATTACCTTTCAGTCGCCCCCTCCTCTCTTTCCTTCTAAACCTCATTGGCTTGGCCTACATAGACGTCCACGTTTAACACGGTTTCATCAGGCCAGTGTGTGTCTATATTTGCCCAGAGACACACCATTGCCTGTTCTTCATCGGATGCTTGCATGTCCCTGCTGGTGTCTGACTGAAACAGATCACGATCCGGGTTATCACTGTCCACTGAAACTCTGAAACGAACCAAACTTTAACTGAAATAAAATGTTAAAATTTGTCATTCAGTTTAACTTGATGTACTAAAGTAACTAAAACAGAAATAAAAATTAATTAGACTAATAAACTAATAAAACATACAAAAACGCAACAAAATTACCAACAATTAAAATGAAAACAGAAAATATAACAAAAAATTTAATTACTATTTTGAATTATTAATTTAAATAAAATATAAGAAAACATTGTTTAACTTGGATTACTAGTATAACTAAAAATGTTTTTAAAAATCTAATAAAAAGGACCAATTAACAACAAAATTACTAACAATTACAATGAAATCAGAAAATATAAAAAATAAAATTGTCAAAATATTAATAATATAAAGTAACATAATAGTTGAACTTGCTTTACTAACATTTTCTTAATAAAACTGAAATAAAAATTTATAAAAACCCACAACAAAATTACAAAAATCTAATAATTAAAAATGCTAATAAAAACTATAGTAGTATCTCAGTCACACCAACACTTCAGTAGTCCAGTGAAACATTTCCACTCATTAACACACAATACACTAATATGCTTAAGGATTTAAAAAGGCAATTATTCATGTGTGAGAAATAACAAACTAGTGACATTTCTTCAAAGGAAGTCCAGTGTTTTTCAAGTAATTAATTGAGTCATATATATATATATATATATATATAAAGCTGTTCTTCTATCTTTATCTGTGCAGTCATTGATGACACAACCAAAGAGATTGTGTATCGGGATTATGTGGACATCAGTGTGGCCGTCGCGACACCAAAGGTAATTCCTACAGATTCATTCCTCTTATAAAGACTCTGAAACGCTGAATCTCATGAGAACATGTCCATTTATACATTTATATTGCGCTTTTTACAATACAGTAAAGCTTTCAAATACGCTTTACAGAGAGAATAGGAAAATAATGCAGCAAAGTGTGTTTCTGCTGCACAGCTTAAGTTCGTTCAGTGACGGTTCACCAGCGGATCAGTAAGATAAAAAAAATTGGTAACACTTTATTTTAGTGTCCTTGTTACATGTACTTACCGTAGTCATAACAGTAAATTATGCATAATTACATGCAACTAACCCTCAACCAAACCCTAACCCTATAGTCAGTACATGTAGTTCATTAATATTACTCAGTACTTAAATATATAATTACACTGTAACAATGACACCTTAAAATAGTGTAATTTATAGTGCTAATATAAGTTTAATATAAAGACATTTATATTCTTTTTCAAATAAATGCTGTTCTTTTGAAGTTTACATTCATCTAAGAATCCTGAAAAATAAAATGTATGACGGTTTCCTCAAAAATATGAACTAAACAAAAATGTTCCACATTGATAATAACCATAAATGTTTCTTGAGCAGCAAAACCTCATATTAGAGTGATTTCTGAAGGATCATGTGACACTGAAGACTGGAGTAATGATGCTGGAAATTCAGCTTTGATCACAGGAATAAATGAAACTTTACTATATATTCACATAGAAAACAGCTGATTACACTGTAATAATATTTCAAGTGTTTATGATCAAATAAATGAAGCTTTGGTGAGACTTCTTACAAGAACATAAACAAATCTTAACATTAAAGAGCCCCAAATGTGACATAATTCTCATGGCGATGAAGATATTCTGCTTCTTCTCTGTGTTCTGAGTCTTAGTGTTATTGTCCCAGTGCATCCGAGCTTCATCTCTCTTCTCTTCCTCGTCTCTCAGGGTCTGGTGGTTCCGGTGATCAGAGGAGTGGAGGGAATGAACTTCGCAGACATTGAGAAAACCATCAACGAGCTGGGAGAGAAGGTGAGGCCGACGGGAGCCGAGCGCTCGATCTGAAGACATGCTTGTTTATCTGCAACTGGAGCAACTCACCAGAAATCTTTATTTAGGCAAATGTTACATGACCTAAAAAAACAGCGGTGGTGGAGCTGATGTCAAGTGAAGGGAAAAATCAAACCATGTAATTTCTGAAAAACGCTGCGGTTTATTCCTCTGACTCGGGCCGGTACCAGAGCACCTTTCACATGTGTGTTTTTAGCACAGGGGTTTCAAAGGGGTCGGCGAAATGACTCGCTAGACCGTATTTACGAACTTCAACTTTTTTTATTATCTGAAATGTGCTAAGATATACAGTCAAAACTAAATGTGTTCCCACTAGGGATGTCCCGATCAGGTTTTTTTGCCCTCGAGTCCGAGTCATTTGATTTTGAGTATCTACCGATACCGAGTCCCGATCCGATACTTATATAATACATAAAAAAAGAATAAAGAAGAGAGAAAAAACAGATCCAGGATGTTCCTTATTTTTTATTTAATTCACCTTATTTTAACATTCAACAATTCTGTTAACAAACAGAGCACTTCTGTGAGGTAGCTTCAACAATCAAGTAATAAATAACATAAAATCTTCACTTTTGGACTTTAGTGCAACAGTAAATATAGAAAAAGTCTAATATAAAAACAAATAGCACCTCAACTTAAAATACCCGGCAGGCATGTAAAAAAAAAAAAAAAATGTTTTAAAAGTGTATAAAAAGATAATGAGCATATATATATATACATTAGGGGTGTAACAGTTCACAAAATGTGCGGTTCGATACGATACAGCAAAAAGAAAGAAATGCCAGAGAAATTTCCTATTTATTAAAAGAAAACCTTTAAATAAGTTTGAGTTTTCCTACATCTTGAAACTTTCAGGTTTATAAATGGGGGTAATCTTTGAAGGATGAACAAATAATGTTTTGGTAATCACATTAAAAATAACATTTAAATATTTGAGTTTTGAAGTGCAACATTAAATCCATGTTTCTCCTGGTTCCCACGTCAGCGCTGTTTGATCTAATAGAGATCTACGGTTAATAACGGAGAAATGTGAATGCTTCTCACTAGATCTCGCAGCGATGTTATTACTTCAGTGGCGAACTCAAATGTTTTCTTCACTGGATCTCTCAGCACAGTGTCGCTTGATCTCACGCTGCACAGATGTTGCTGGTCCGGACTGATAAATGGTCCGTTAAGCACAATATAATGAGTAGCGAAGATTCGTTCCGCTTTCATTACGTTTGCCATTTGATGTTGCGCAACGATGTGGTGATCGCGCCAGCGCGGATTTTGTCTGCAGGAAAAATGGTCCAAGGAATCGTTCGGTTTGTATGTGTACCGAACCGGAAGCCTCGTACCGAAACGGTTCAATAATTACGAATACATGTACCGTTACACCCCTAATTTACATATATCCGAGTCCTGATCGGGAGGTAACATCCGATTCCGATCGAGTCTGAAACCACGTGATCGGGCCCGATCGGGACATCCCTAGTTCAGACACCTTCAACATCTCTCACATTATCTCAGTTTATTCCCTATAGTTTAGAAAATGCTGATAAATATGAGCAGAACTCAGTGGATATTTGACTGGTTTTGTCCGTCTTTCTGTTAGACTCTCACACATGAATTATGTTGAATATCTGTCAGCTGTTAAATTTAACTACACACTTAGATAATACCAGTTTAGCTCAACCAGTGACCAAGCAATGCTTCATGTTGTTCAGTCTGTGTGTGAAAAGAGCATTAGCAATTACAGAAAACACACTGAAGAAAACATGATCAGCTCAAAGTGGAGGAATCATGTTTGCTCCCAAATGTGTATAAATGTAACCGGTAGTCACTGTATGAAGAATATTTGGGTGTAATATGTCACAGTTTACTTTAGTTTGCTCTCTTCACTTACATAAATGAACTATACTGTCCTGATCACACACTAGTAGAACAATATAACAAATTACATTTTAATTGTTGGTTTGACTGTATATAGTGCAAAGTGAATTACTCACTTAGTCTCCGATAGCTCCTATTGTCTCCTATTAATCTCTGGGAAAGCCAAGCTAAGCTACAGCAACATGGCAACAGTAGTGGACTACATCCAAGCTACTTTCTAAAATGTCTTTTTTATATTGAACCAACTTCATTCCAAGTCAATTCATTCTCAGTGATCAATAAAGCTGTCAGTCAAACACACAGACAGGCATAATTGTCCAGTTCAATTGATTATTCAACAACTGTTCCAACAAAAACACAAAACATGTGATCCACATAATAACAAAATCAGTGTGTGTGTGTGTGTGTGTGTGCGTATGAGTTTGCTCAATTTAGACTTGGGCACGTTTGCAGGACAAAGTGTGACTTAATTTAGTTAAGTGAACAAACTTAATTTATCTTAAGTTACTTAATATTAAATGAGCAAATTACAGTAGCATAACAATTAAGACCTGCTCCAAAAAGTAAAAAACATGTCCTCTAAATAAGTGTGTGTGTGTCTCCGCCACAAAGAGGAGGGGGGATTGCTGCTATAGTGACGAACAATTTGTTGTGTGTGTAGTGGATATCTAAAAAAAAAGTATCGTGTAAGTGGACTTTTTTTGTAATCGCGGCTTTGAACGATTACGTAATCATAATGGCCATTAGAAATTGGATAATTGAGCAGCGCTAGAGTTTGTTAATGTTTTGTTTTATTTACCAGTAGTTTACATTATTTTTGAATCTAATAATAAAAAACACTTATCTGTGTTTTTCCCTCCACTATAAATGTTCCTGCCTCCAAAAAAGTTAAAAAAATCCAAATTTATCCAAAGCGACTCACAAAAGAGGAACAAAAAGCAAATTAACCACAGTATTAGGAATATGCAATGCCAGGTTTAATAGCCGAGTAGAAGTGTTGTGTAAGCTTGTGCTCTCGGCTCCCGCAGGCTCGTAAGAATGAGCTGGCTGTGGAGGACATGGACGGCGGGACGTTCACCATCAGCAACGGAGGAGTGTTCGGCTCCATGTTCGGGACGCCCATCATCAACCCGCCGCAGTCGGCCATCCTGGGCATGCATGGCATCTTCGACCGGCCCGTGGCCATCGCTGGGAAGGTCAGATGTCCTAAAACTACTCTCATTATTTATTATTAACAATAACTTCTCAAGACAGGCGAGGTCAGAGGTTGTTAACCGAATGTTAAAGCCGTCCATTCACATTCTTTTTTAAATAATCATGTTTAACAGTGGACTTTGGGCTGAAAACTACATTACCCATGATGCTGTACAGAAGATTCAGTGCAGTGAGCAGATGAGCACTTTAGCTCTATAATTGCAACAGTAAACCTCTGTTGCTACACTTGTTTGCCAAATAAATGAAAGGGCTTGTTTAATTTTCATTTGAATAAAAGATAAGATTAATGTTTCATGCCTTCATTTCATTACCAGAAAAATGTAAATGCACAACAAAGAATATATATATAAAAAAAAAATTCATAGGGCCCTATTATTGTATACAAATTAATAAATTAAGTTGTTTTGTGAATTAAATATTAGATATTTTATGTTTTTGATTTAACTGGAATATAGATTAAATAAAATGGAAAGAACAGAACTGGGGAAAAAAGAAAATGGAATTAAAAAGAAAAACATTAAGAATGTAATTTCTGTTCAAATGTTAATAAATTTAACAAGTTTCATGATTTGAATTACTTCATAATGCTTTTTGATTAATATAATTTTATTTAACCATCCAGAAAAATTAAAACGGGAAGAAAAAAAAATTAAATCCGGAAAAAAATTAAAATGTGAAAAACAGAATCAACTGGCATGAAACTCTGCGTCCTGTGAAGTGTGCTGGTCTCGGTCGGCTGCCTCACCCCTTCAGCTTTCCCTCCTCAGTAATATTACAGCCTCCGTTATAACACGATGTGTGTGTGTGTGTGTGTGTTCAGGTGGAGATCAGGCCGATGATGTACGTGGCTCTGACGTACGACCACCGCTTGATTGACGGCAGAGAGGCGGTGACCTTCCTCCGAAAGATCAAGTCTGTGGTGGAGGACCCTCGGGTGCTGCTGCTGGACATGTGATCACACACACACTGATACGTCACACACCGATACGCCACACACACACCGATACGCCACACACACCGATACACCACACACACACACACACACACACCGATACGCCACACACACACACAAACACCGATACGTCACACACACACCGATACACAACACAAACACTCATACGCCACACACACACCGATACGCCACACACACACCGATACGTCACACACGCACTAAACACCAATACGTCACACACACACCGATATGCAACACACACACAAACACCGATACGTCACACACACACCGATACACAACACAAACACTCATACGCCACACACACACTTATATGCCACACGCACACACTGATAGGCCACAGACGAGTGAGCGATGGCAGCGGGGACTGGAGTGGGATCCGCATTGATTATCTTCATCTCGACTTGTTCTGCCATGTAAATGTGTTTCAGATGATGGAGTTTGTTGCCCTCGCAGAACCTGCTGTTCTGTGTACAACTCCGCACACAAACATGACCTGTGCAATTATGTTTCTAAATGATAGTAATATACAGTATGTTGTATTTAATCTCTTCTGTGTAATGAACACTATGTTCCAGAAGTGTGTCGCGGGTGTTTTGTCTTTCACACCACGACGTGTCCCGCACAACTCCAGACCTTCAGATTCTGCCCTGTAAAGAACCAAAACTCAGATTTTAAACAATAAAATGGAATGAAATGCTCCAGCTGTGTGTGTCTGGCTCTTCTCTACAGCAAACACAAGCGAACTCACTCCAGCTTCTGACGGCCTTCAGTGATTAAAGTCCTCCTGTGGTGTAAATCAAGCTTTTAATGTTGTTTATATATGTGTATGTGGTGTTATTAATACGCTTTAAGACACACCATGTGTAAGTTCATAAGTCGACAGCATTGCTGAGTATTTTCTGCTTAAAACTGCAGTGAACCAAAGCCAGTCTCAAAAACACGGTTTGAAATCGCTGGTGTTTCTGACGTCACAAACGACCTTGTAACCAATCAGATCAACGTGTGATCGTCAACCAGTGGATCTCTGAGCTGAGTGAGTGAGTGGAGGCGGGGCTCATTTGCATATTCATAGAACCGCACATACTAAATGGCGCAAGGGTGTCGAGTTACGGTCAAGATATTTTAAGTCATGAAAAACATTTAAATGTGTCATTTTGGTGATCAAAGATGAGTTTAAAAGGGTAAAATGATTGACTAAAGCGGGATTGTAAGATTATTCACACCAAGAACGACAATAACAATAAAGATATTGTTCTAAAAATAGCTCTTAAGTGTAACAGAATAGCAGAGCCATAACGGCGATACCAACACAGGAACGATGTCGTTGGAATCGCTTTCAGAACGATTTTTTTTTTCCAGCTGATGAACGATAAAAACGTTGACAGCCAATCAGAATCCATCCTGCTTTCAGAGCTCGAGCATTTAAAGTGACAGGCGCCGAAACTGAGCGATATTGTCCGCTGGTGTGGATGCTAATATAGTAATGGTTCTCAAACCTTCACTGACAGTCACAGTACCTGTGGAGATGAAGCAGGGCTGTTCATTCATTAAACTGTGTTCACGTTACATCGCTCCATCTTAAGCTAAATACATTTAAATAGTTTGGACAAAACCGGTTCCTTCATAAACCGAACAGATTTACAGTGTAATTTGATCATTTGAATAATTCTGATATTTGTGCAAAAACCCACTTTCAATAATTTGATAATTATGGTATAATAGGGCTGACACACACAGAGAATAAAGAGACCTTGGAAGGCTTCACTTCCTGAAAAGAATGGGTTTATTATTAATATTCTATATATATAACAATATATAGATAGTAGGGCTGTCAAATGATTAATCGTGATTAATCACATCCAAAATAAAAGTTTTTGTTTACATAATATATGTGGGTGCACTGTGTATAATTATTTTATATATATAAATACACACACATGCTTGTATATATTTAAGAAATATTTTCATGTATATACTGTATATAGATTTATATATAATTTATATTATTTATAATATATAAATATTTTATATATAAATAATATTTTTTTCTGAAATATACATGCATGTGTGTGTATTTATATATATACAAAATAATTATACACAGTGCACCCACATATATTATGTAAACAAAAACTTTTATTTTGGATGTGATTAATCGTGATTAATCATTTGACAGCCCTAATAGATAGTAGTATTATTATTGGAATATTTTTAACTCCATTGACAGAATTTTCCGGTGATGTTGCATTTTTATGAAACTTGCCCACATTCAAGTGTTGATATAAAAGTAATGCATGAAGCCAGAATAAGACAGGCTTGTTTGTTTAAGAGCACAGGGTCTGTTCGTTCTTATGATATATTGCATATTCAGATCTAAAGAAAATATTCTGGGGGGCGTGAAACTTTTGTGAAAATGATCAAAAATGCTGGCGGTGGCTGGCAACTTATTAACTAATGCTGGGAAAGAGTTAAGAGGGGAAATATGAGCTTGTCAGGTTTGATGCATGACTTGGTTATTTTGGTATCATTGATATACTATTATAGTTTTTGTTAATATTTTGTATTGGATTTTAACTTTAAATTTTCTGATTTCATTTTAATTGTATAGTTTTACTAATTTGTTGTGTTTGTCATTTTTATTCTTGTTTTTCTTCTCCTAAATGTGTCGTTTTATTAATTTTTAGTTTTAGGAGGCGGATTTTGATGAGCACAGAACCTCCTAATGTCAGATAAATTGAGGTGCATATTTAAAAATTTTAGGATATGATATTTATTACCTTTTTTTTAATTATTATTAAAATAAGGAACTTTTGCTAATAGCGGACAAAGGAAAAAAATCTTAACAGGAAAAAAAAACGTATAAGCTTGATTCTGCCAGAGAATAAAAATAAAAAAAATGATTTTTTTTATCTCATAATTGCGCCTTTTTTTATCTAAGAAATTGCGTGATATAAAGTCGTAATTGTTATAAAGTCAGAATTAAATGATATAAAGTAGCAATTATGTTATAAAGTAATTATGTTAAGTCAGAATTGTAAGATATAAAGTCGCAATTGTGTTATAAAGTCAGAATTGCGTGATAGTTGCAATTATGTTATAAAGTCAGAATTGCGTGATAGTTGCAATTATGTTATAAAGTCAGAATTGCGAGATATAAAGTCGCAATTGTGTTATAAAGTCAGAATTGCGTGATTGTTGCAATTGTGTTAAAGTCAGAATTCCGTGATAAAGTCGCAATTGTGTTATAAAGTCAGAATTGCGTGATAGTTGCAATTGTGTTATAAAGTCAGAATTGCGTGATAAAGTCGCAATTGTGTTATAAAGTCAGAATTGCGAAATATAAAGTCAGAATTGTGTTATAAAGTCAGAATTGCGTGATAGTTGCAATTATGTTATAAAGTCAGAATTGCGAGATATAAAGTCGCAATTGTGTTATAAAGTCAGAATTGCGAAATATAAAGTCGCAATTGTGTTATAAAGTCAGAATTGCGTGATAGTTGCAATTGTGTTATAAAGTCAGAATTGCGTGATAGTTGCAATTGTGTTAAAGTCAGTATTGCGTGATAAAGTCGCAATTGTGTTATAAAGTCAGAATTTCGTGATAGTTGCAATTGTGTTATAAAGTCAGAATTGCGTGATAGTTGCAATTATGTTATAAAGTCAGAATTGTGAGATATAAAGTCGCAATTGTGTTATAAAGTCAGAATTGCGTGATAGTTGCAATTATGTTATAAAGTCAGAATTGCGAGATATAAAGTCGCAATTGTGTTATAAAGTCAGAATTGCGAGATATAAAGTCGCAATTGTGTTATAAAGTCAGAATTGCGTGATAGTTGCAATTGTGTTAAAGTCAGAATTGCGTGATAAAGGCGCAATTATGTTATAAAGTCAGAATTGCGAGATAGTTGCAATTGTGTTATAAAGTCAGAATTGCATGATAGTTGCAATTGTGTTAAAGTCAGAATTGCATGATAGTTGCAATTGTGTTAAAGTCAGAATTGCGTGATAGTTGCAATTGTGTTATAAAGTCAGAATTGCGAGATATAAAGTCGCAATTGTGTTATAAAGTCAGAATTGCGTGATAAAGGCGCAATTATGTTATAAAGTCAGAATTGCGAGATAGTTGCAATTGTGTTATAAAGTCAGAATTGCATGATAGTTGCAATTGTGTTAAAGTCAGAATTGCATGATAGTTGCAATTGTGTTAAAGTCAGAATTGCGTGATAGTTGCAATTGTGTTATAAAGTCAGAATTGCGAGATATAAAGTCGCAATTGTGTTATAAAGTCAGAATTGCGTGATAAAGGCGCAATTATGTTATAAAGTCAGAATTGCGTGATAGTTGCAATTGTGTTATAAAGTCAGAATTGCATGATAGTTGCAATTGTGTTAAAGTCAGAATTGCGTGATAAAGTCGCAATTGTGTTATAAAGTCAGAATTGCGTGATAGTTGCAATTATGTTATAAAATCAGAATTGCAAGATATAAAGTCGCAATTGTGTTATAAAGTCAGAATTGCGTGATAAAGGCGCAATTATGTTATAAAGTCAGAATTGCGTGATAGTTGCAATTGTGTTAAAGTCAGAATTGCGTGATAGTTGCAATTGTGTTATAAAGTCAGAATTGCGAGATATAAAGTCGCAATTGTGTTATAAAGTAAGAATTGCGTGATAAAGGCGCAATTATGTTATAAAGTCAGAATTGCGTGATAGTTGCAATTGTGTTATAAAGTCAGAATTGCATGATAGTTGCAATTGTGTTAAAGTCAGAATTGCGTGATAAAGTCGCAATTGTGTTATAAAGTCAGAATTGCGTGATAGTTGCAATTATGTTATAAAATCAGAATTGCAAGATATAAAGTCGCAATTGTGTTATAAAGTCAGAATTGCGTGATAAAGGCGCAATTATGTTATAAAGTCAGAATTGCGTGATAGTTGCAATTGTGTTAAAGTCAGAATTGCGTGATAAAGTCGCAATTGTGTTATAAAGTCAGAATTGCGTGAT